CATTTTGCCGATAAATAGAGAAAGATATGAGAGGAATGAACAAAAACTGGAAAGAACTAGAAAGGGAAGCTAAGGACAGAGTTGGTTGGAGAAAACTGGTGGACGGCCTATGCTCCATTGAGAGTAACATGCGTAAGTAAGTAAGTAAGTAAATACCGTCTGATGTAAACGGAAAATTGTAAGTAACAACTATACTGACAAAAGAAGCAACATTTATACAGAAACAGTGAATTAGACCGCTACAGAAATGTGATCATTTTATAGGTACATTCATTTTTATCAATGAACATGTTAGGTGTAAATTTTCTTACCAAAATCTTGTTTGATCATTGACTACGTAAATCTATGCTCATATTTGGTTGTTGTTCTTTTTTCAAAGATCAATAATATTTTGTACTTTGATTTCGTATTTGTACTGACGTTTTATAGTTACATTTTATTTTTAATTGATTAAAGAAATTTGATAGACAAGATAGACAAGAAGTAGCTATCGCATTCGTTTGGCCTCACACACTTATTATTGATTGATAAAGTAGAATATGAATTCGCTTTATGTCACTAAGTTCTCATAAGTTTACTTACTTACATACTTATTTTCTTACACCTGTTACTCCTAGCCGAAGCATAGGTCGGCGATCAACATTTTCCAACATTCTCTATGCTGCGCCTTTCTTTCTACTTCTACCCAGTTGTTATTGATTCTTCTCGTGTCTGTCTCCATTTCTCAGCGTATGGTGTCATTTGGTTTTCATCTTTTCCATGGGCCTTGAAGATTCTCAATAAAGGCTTGTCTTGTGACACAGCTGAATGCTTTCCTCAATATGTTTCTTATTCATTTCCAGCGCATCTTTTTGATTCCACCCTTCATTGGAATCTGGTTTGTTCTCTACCACAGTAGGTTGTTGCTGATAGTGTATGGCCAGCAGATGTGGAGCTTTTGTCTAGACAACTGTTAATAAACACTTGTGTCATGTGGATGACAGGTTTCGTGGTTCTGGAAGTTTCCGCTCCAAACAGTAGAACTGTTTTGACATTCTCATCAGCTGCTTACAACCTAGAATATTTTTTAAATCAAAAACACCAGAGAAATTGTGAAATATTTATCAATACGAAGTTGATTTCGGATAAGTGTGTGTGTGTGAAGTTATTTCTTAATACCATTGGATGCCGGTTCAGTGGTTCAAAAATTAAATATTCACTCGCAAGATCAAAGGTCCTAGGTTCGATTTCTGCCAGTAGCTTGAGTCATGAATGCTCACTGCTGATTAGTCTCATAGTAGGAAAAGACGGTCGTCCATTGCTCCCATGTTTCTAACGGTAATCTAACGATGACCGATTGATTATTTTCATGTAAAATAACGACCACCATAATTCTATGATAAAAAGAGTTTATATATATATATATATATATATATATATATATATATATACTTATATAAAGTATGGATGGAAAGTTCCAGAATATCTAACTTGACAGACTTTAGATGGTCATTTCGTAAAGTTACCTAGATCAGACTAATGATCAGATTAAGACATTAACACCGTTAGATGTCAATTCAATGGTCTAGGAGTTAGGCGTCCGAGCACAATACCGAAGTTCTTCGGCTCCAAACCTGGGAGGTGTAGGAGTCGTGGTTGCGCACTGCTGGTGAACCAGTCTCATACTAGGATGAAACGACTCTCCATTGTCTTCAGGTTTCTAATGATGGTCTAATGATGATTGATTCATGATTCCAATGTAAAAAATAACAATCTCCATATTTCCATAATAATAAAAGTTTGTTAGGTCATAAAATATGTTTCAAATAGATTAAGTATTAGGCGAGAAAGTTCCAGAATATCGAACTTGTGATTAGAAATAAAAAGAGTTGACAAACTTTAGATGGTCATGTCATGAAGTTGCCTACATTAGACTAATGATAATAAAGAAATAAAGTAATTTGAAATGAAAATTTATGAATTCTAGAAAAATGTAAGTGATGTAATCAAAGGATTATTCAATAGAGTGGATGTAATGTTTCCTGGATAATCAAAGATTTATTACTGTTCAGTTTTTTGAATATATCAATTTAATGGCTGTAGCCTCGATAAATTTCGGAAGATGGAGACTGAGTCATTTTTCAAATACCTTATAAGACCTCATTATACATTCATTTGATGTCGAGGTGATGACTCAATATCTCATTACTCAACGGCGTTGATCCACTTGTCCTTAGAATTTTTTCAATTTTTTCTTTGAATCGGATGTAGGCATGTCATTCTGTTCTACCAATGTGATTGTTTCGATAAATGTATATGTCTCTCTTTACACAGTTGGAGGTAAAATGGCAGGGATAACTACTGACCACTCATTCATTCCTGATTTCAGCTGAATCACACAAGACAAGCCCTTACTTGGAACCCTCATGATTAAATGAAAAGAGAAAGTCCAAAACAACACATTACGCCAAGAAATAGAGAAAGATATAAAAAGAATGAACAAACATTGGACAGAACTGAAAAAGAAAGCCTAGAACAGAGTAGGTTGGAGAATACTGGATGGCGGCCTATGCTCCATTAAGAGTAACAGGTGTAAATAAGTACGCAAGTAAGTAACACCAATAATTCTATATTCATTACTTTCTTCTTGTTCGTCTGTTATTTATAAACATGACTTTTCATTTACAAATGCTTTCAGTAAAAATAAACGACGTGAAGTCAAGGAAGTAAATAAAGTTCCTATATTTTAGTGCTACAAAATCATTGTTGTCCTAGTGTCAAAGCTGACACCTTGACAATTGTTATGATCAGCATGAACGATTTGCGTAAAATTGCTAGTCATGTTTTATTTTGCTAGTTGAAGCGTGTTATTTACCAAAGTTACTGTAAACTGTCAATCTGTATTATTCCGGATTCAGTCAGTATGTAATTGTGGCAAATGAAATTAAATGTTCCGATAGTGAAACCACATTAAGAATGTAAATCCCGTAAAATAATTTCGGCTATTTCGGATGATTACAAATACATGATAAACTATTTTTTTTTTCTAAAACATTATCGACAGATAACATTGTTGAAATTGGTTGCTTGGCCAGACACCTTCAGCAACAACGTACTGTGGGAGAAAACATATCAGATTCCAGTGGAGGAGGAAATCAGGAAGAAGCGGTGGAAGTGGATAGGACACACACTACGAAAAGGACCGAACTGCGTCACAAGACAAGCCCTCACATGGAACCCTCAAGGTAAAATGAAAAGAGGAAGGCCAAAGAACGCATTACACCGAGAAAGAGAGGAAGACATGAGAAGAATGAACAAACATTGGACAGAACTTGAAATGGAAGCCCAGGACAGAGTTGGTTGGAGAATGCTGCTGGCGGGCGGCCTATGCTTGATTGGGAATAACAGCCGTAAGTAAGTAAGTAAGTAATTCAATCTCAAATTGCATGAGTTAATCGTCGATCAAGATGTATTCTACTCCAAGTTTGTTAGTTAAGAAATAACATTCAGTTTGATTTTTTAATAGTTTTTGTTATCATTTATTTGGGTTAAGTTTGAATCATCAAACAACACACACACATGAAGAATATATGCCTTGTAGTTGTTCATGTCAGAAGGCTATGAACAAATCTATGCATAAACCAATTAATTTCGAGTTCTAAGAGTTATCCCAAGTCTTTTATCGAAACAGAGACGAAGACGGGATAGACCAGATGAAATAGGTGTATTTGTTGGCGATTTCATGGTATTGAGGACATATTAAAATGTGCCAGAGAATCAAGTGAATGTACAAAGCAGCCAAAGCAAGATGGCGACGGAGAAGAGGTGAAGATCACGTGACCGTAGTGTAATGTCAATATATATAAACAAAAAAAGAACAAAGGTCATTGCGTTTAAACAAAAGTATGCATAAATAAATATTCCATAACACGTTCAATGGTACAATTGATCATAATATTGAATGTTGATATTTAAACAATCGTGTTTTTTCTCTGTAAAAGTGAAATTATTACAACCTAAAAAATTTTGTGTTCATTTATTCTCTTATCAGTATCATGATGATTATCAGTGATTGTATTCCGTAAATTATTTTATCATAGCTGTACGGTAATTGTAACTAAGACATTTAATCATAGCCTAACATACTTTGAGAAATGCATAACTCAAGTCATTTTTGTCACTATATGAGGTTGTGTAGATTTTTCAGTTAGAGTTATGAAGATTATTGTTGTTACATATTTGAAACCATCAATCAATCATTGACCCAGAGGTTAGGCGTTTACGCACAAGATCGAAGGTCCCGGGTTCGAATCCTTCGAGGTGCTGATGAGTCTCATACCAGGACGAAACGGCCATCCAGTGCTTTCAGGTTTCTAATGTGGTAGTCTAACAATGATTGATTGATTGACTGATGATTTCAAATGTGTTGGGTAGATTGTTGAGTTCCACTGAAACCTTGAGCTAGGTCGAAGTTGCTGACTTTGATTCCCGTTTGCATTACATTGGGAACGAGCACTAAGGGCCGCCAAGTGTGTTTCGAGGTTGTCAATGATGGTCCAGCACTGATCAGTTTTATATCATTTCAATGAAAAATTTACTAGATAGTAAAACTAGACAAAGTTAAACACACAAGTTCAACTGAATGACACAGTCATCTAGACAATAACATCATATATCAGAATACAAGTGACATTGTTATGATTATTATCATTATTTTTACTAACAAATAAAAGTTACTCAATAGGCCTTCTAATTATTCATGTCTAAACACATATATAAATATAATTTGTAATTGGTCTTGTACAATTTTTCACATAACTAAAACAAACTATTTTCATGTTGTTCATACTTGTTAAATGATTCATGATGTATCATCAGTTGAATTAAGGTCAAAGTCCATTGTGTAAACATGATATATCGTATAACATTCTTTTGTTGTTGTAAAAAATGAAAATACTTTGTTTAAAATGCATCTATGATGCCCCCATCTTCACATATCTATATATATATACAAAGATAGATAGGTAGATCAATGAGTTGATAGATACATTTCACAGAATACAAATACGGATGATGTGTAAAACTTTACTAGTGACATTGTTCATTTTGTCAATATTTATTACTAAAGAAATTACATGTTTTCTGGGTATGTTATTTTATTGTTGTATATATTATAAGAATTTAATTATTATTTCCAATGTAATTTTTTACACATTTGAAATCATCAATCAATCATTGTTAGACCACCATGAGAAACCTGGAAGCACTGGACGGCCGTTTCGTCCTGGTATGGGACTCATCAGTGGCAGTGCGCATCCACGACTCCTGCTCCTCGCAGGATTCGAACCCGGGACCTTCGGCATTGTAGGTGAACTTCTGCATCCGATACACCTTTCTCGTCGATGATGCGGCCCAGATATGTAAAGGTGTTAACGTCCTCCAAGGCATCTACATCAAGAGTGATTTGTTCGGTGCATGTGTTGCATCGGAGAATTTCGCTTTTTCCTTTATGAATGTTGAGACCTACTGTTGCAGAGGCTGCTGCTACACCGGTTGTCTTGTCTTGCATTTGTTGTTGCGTGTGCGATAGAAGAGCCAGGTAATCTGCGAAGTCCAGATCGTCCATCTGCATCCTGACTGTCCATTGTATACCGTGCTTCCCTCCAGATGTTGACATCATCATAGTCCAGTCGATGACCAGGAGAAAGAGAAAGAGTGAGAATAAGCAACCTTGCATCACACTGGTCTTCAACAGAGAGTTGATGCTCACTTAAAGATACGAATCGACTACCAGTGCTCAATTCCACTGCTAACCACTATCCATCCACCTTTGTTAATAATCTCTGTAAACTAAATGCGTTATCAAGGCAATCCCGACAGGTAGCATATTTTTGCCAAAGAGATTAAGTAATTTTTTACTTAAACTTCAATGATAAGATTCGAACACACTCTCTACTTTGATCATCTCGTTTACATGTTCTTACAAAATAGATCATATCATATGCTTGTGATCATTTTTGATTGAATAAAATGTATTGAGTACATAGTGAACACGATAAAATCAAATGAAAAATATTCATCTACCTTTTGTTTTAATTGACTTATCACAGTGATTTGTATTCTAAGCAACGAAAAGTATCATCTGTCATTTATTATATGAAAAGTTTAATATCGTAGTTGGTCATATTATATCAAAGCATTTCTCGGGGATCTGGGACAGCCTGTTAAGAAAAGGGTGCTAGGTAAGGTTGTCAAATCAACTGAAACTTTATCATTTGAGATAGTTGGCATACATGTAATACGTATGCTTAACCACTGACTACTTTACTGAATGATGTTTTGTTGTGTATGGGTTGGCTGGAAGAATGATATGGGAGGCCAAACCAAAATATGGCATAAATCCACATAGTTACTGACAAGTAAATTCAGCCAGGTTGATAGGTGTATACTACCCGTTTGGGATCTGTGAGATAATCAATCGTAACTGACAGGTAACGACTTACAATAACACAGGTGCATCCACTCTTTACCTTCATTCAAATTCGAATTTCTCATTGCCTTTTCTCTGGTTTAAATATATTTCACTGGGATATACTTGTTGAATCATATCTTATCTATCGCTAGGCTTTTCGTTTACCTCTATTACTTATACTACACATAGTAGTGAAGGAGAACACAGGTGAAGGCAACCGAATTACAGAGTTACTCAGTAAAATAGGAAAACCATATCGTAAATCGTTCATTTGCAAAATATCAGTTCATCATATCGAACTGGACTGTTCCTGTTGCAAAACATCAATCCATTGTCACTATTCATGCGTTTCATACAAATTCCATTGTGTTCTAACTCTTCCTTTATTGATATTCCCCCATCTTCTGCTGCCAGATATTACGTTGACACTCACGTCATATACTACTTATAAGTAGCTCATACCACACTACTACTGTGGCATTTGTCTATTCAATCTCTCTGTGGCAATGTAGTATAGCAACTTGAACTGACAGGTGTACGTACGATGTTCTACGTTGTAACTGACTGAATGATAATCAGTGTTTGAATAAGTTACATGAAAACTGTTTACGACAGAAACTATTACAGATACATTTTGCTATGAAACAGGAATATTATAACGTCATTTTATATCTATATGGTTAAAAATACATTTTAAAAACTCCGCCTGTAGTCTATCTCAAATTTCTGCCGGTCCCATGTCTCAATAAAGGAGGAGGGTTGAAAATGAGGAATTAGTTGCCCCATTCCGTAGAAAACTATTGTGCTCGTCAATTGATATGCTTGAAACAATAACCAGTTCACCTTAGTCGGAAAACGATAGAGAAGACAAATGATCCAGTGACAGGATAGGCTATTCTGATTGAATTGTCCTCGGGCCTTGCCAACCATAGGAAGAAGTGTTGATAAGGCATATAAATCCAGTTTATTTATACATGATAGAAACGTCCTTGGGAGAGCTACAAGGATTTCCCCGATAGAAAATGGCATCTCAAGTTCAACTGATCAGCTCATTGCATTAAAACATAAAATGCAAAATTAGGACCTTTATCAAGTGAGTTCCAGGGATCTGAAGTCCCTAAACCAAAAAAAAACCAACTCTCCAAAAAAATATAACGCTATTGAGAATCAATATTTCTAATACAAAGTTCATCAGTGTTAATTAGTATAATCATGAACACGTTCAGACAAGAAATGTTGAAATTATTTAGAAAAATTTCATTAGCTGCAATGACACATCCAATAATGTAATCTGCATCTAATTTGGCGCCGAATTTTTCATTTATTCATTTTTCAGATTTCAAATGTGCAGAAAAAGGTGAAACATGTACAAAAACAATCATTAAACGATGTTGTGGTAATCTTGTCTGTGAACTACATGGACCATTCAATGGAATATGTGTAGATTGTTTGAAATTAGAATCAGCTTGTATATCAGATGATGAATGTTGTAGTAAAAGGTGTCATTTTCTTGCTTGTAAACCAAAAAACAACTGAATCAATTCTCTCTACACTTTTACTGATCATATTATCTATCAGGTTTCAGTATTATTTAGGTTAAATAATGTTATTTCTATCATTTTGAAAAAAATAAATTGAATTTTTTAATATTAGTTCAAGTTATTGTATTTACTCCTTATACTGGTGTGGTGGAGATGATGGGTTCATCAGTTCTGTGGTAATCGGCCATTGACATAATTCCTTAGACTAGACTAGACTAGACAACGACGCTCAATGGTGCATACAGTTTAGAAGACGAATGCGAAGTGTCGAATGTGTGTGTTTATTATCGTACCACACAAAGACTACGTGCTGAAGAGCGAGTTTGAGAGCGTGTGAAAGCGCCAGTAAGTAGGATTAAAGTATATATTATATATATATATATATATATATATATATATATATATATATATATATATATGAATTATCGAGTTATTTAAGCGGCTAACATTGAGGCGAGCAGAATGAAGAATATGTGAGTAGGCGGTAGACGACGTTCAATCATACCTGCTCATACAAACGCGACAATAATAAAACCACAATGGTACAGATAAGTTGTCGTTATACAAATAACTCTGTCTGTTAAATAAGTTAATCAAAATGGCTTAACCTGAATGAAACGTAAACAGACTCAAATGTATTTGGAGGTACTACTACATAGGTAATTGATGTAAAGTGTGACTGTTTTCAATTAAAACTATAGACTTTTTTTATATCAATATTCTAAAAACTTTAACAGTTATGATAACAGTCCTATTAAAATTTGAAAAAATCAGTCCACTATGAGTAACTTAATTTGAAACTTAATATTGGGGAATTATGGAAGTTGGTTGAATTTTCATAACCAATAAACAAGTAGAATTTACTCATAACAGTTATGACAATCAATGGAAGACAGTTTCGCAATATCACGAATCCATGAAAGTCGAACATATTTATCGTTTTTTTCAAGGTTCAGTATTCTAAATGTGTTAAGCAATGATTTCAAGCTTGAAGGTAGTGGCTTTGATCTGCGACCAGGTGAGGTGGGGCGGGAGTTAAAGATGCCTATTATTAGAGAGCATCATGTCAGGGGACAAAGTGATCACGTAGTGTTAGAAAAGCAGTCAGTCATACTGTGTTACAACAGACTAGTGTATCTGCAATGAAAACAGTATCAACTAGATTAAGTCTTTACTATATCAATTTCAATCGAATGATTAAACAGAGCGCTTTGTTGATTCATCGAAAAAAAGTTACTTTAAAAGGAGGCAGAAAGAACAATCAAACAAGAACACAACAGTTCCTTATCAGTGAACACCAACTCCAGAAACAATGAGAAGATTATTTCCAGTAGAAAATATGTATCAGCGAAAAATTTGAATTGTGTTATGTGTTCTGATACCATGATCAAAGGAAATAAGAAGTAGGAATCTGTGTATGTGGTTTCATAAACTACTGCAATGTGTTTAAAACCAGAAGTTTTTATTGGAATAAGACAATGAAGATGTGAGATTTCTGTGATTCTTAATGAAGATAAGCAAACAGATATAATTGAGTTGATAGATACAAAGTATATCTCCGTCTGGAATCCTTCTAGGGTTACTGTCGGTCCCATACCCGGACAAAAGAGGAGGGTTAGGCATGAGCTTATCGACTCCATCGCGTAGAAATGCTACTAGCTAGAAAAAAAACACGTTAACCAGAAAAATAACTCGCTGGTCGGTGACACATGCTTAATTAGGAATAACAAGTGTAAGTAACTAAATAAGTACATGCAAAGTATAGTCGATGTTCTACATAACAGTTTCATGCATATTTATGATATTATTTTATAGAAACTTTTCATTAGTCAGTGGTAGATAATCAAAATGAAGAGACAAGAGAAAAAAATCAATCATATTTACACACTAATTTGTTTAAATTCTGTTATGCTCGTCAAATTGATATTCTTGAAACTATTATGAGTTCACCTTAGTCGGAAAACGACAGTGAAGACAAATGATCCAGTGACAAGATAAGCTACTCTAATCCGAGCGTTCCGAGCTCCTACTAAATAGAAGAGGAAGTCTTGATATGGCGGAGAAAGTGTATTCTACAAGCATCCAGAAAATATGAGGTTTTTCAAGCACATAAATCCAGTTTATTTATACATCATAGAAACGTCCTTGCGAGATCCACAAAAATAGCTTACTAAAATAATGTGGTGTGAGCTACTTATAGGTAGTATATGACGCAAGTGAAAACGTAATGTCTGGCGGCAGAAGATGAGGGAAGATCAAGAAAGGAAGAGTGGGAACACAATGGAATTTGTATGAAACGCATGAACAGTCAAATGTCAGACAATAGATTGAAGATTTGCAAATTAACCGTTTACGATATGGTTTTCCGATTTTACTGAGTAACTCTGTAATTTGCGATAAATACAGTTCGGTTGCCTTCACCTGTGTTCTCCTTCACTACATCAACCAATAACAGTCAAGGATTTCCCAGCTAAGAAATGTAATCTCATAGTCAACTGAGCAGCCCTTGCGCAAAACCACAAAATCCGAAATGAGGACCTTCGCCAAATGAGCTCTGGGGTCTAACGTCCTCAAATAATTCTATGAAATTAAGTAGTGTAAAGTCTAATTAATAATAAGAACAATTGATAAGACTATAGTACAAATCTCACTGACTTATTCCTTCACTAATATATATTATCAAAACAGAATCGATATCTTATTGTAAAAACAAAAACACTACTGTTTATCGATCACAGTAATATAAATTAATAAATTGTAACAGTATTTTAGATGGTCATTATGTGACTTCAATTTCAGACAAATGATTAGACGTGATATGTTATGAAAATTAATCTTGCTTTAGAGTATTATGGAGAAGGTCTTTCTACCATGAAATCATGAATGAACATGGGACCAGTGGAGTTCATTCCTGTCGGGTGTATGCAGTAAGTACCGAAGACAATGCGTGAGGTTACGCGAATTCCTTAGACTGATCAGACTTAGATATTAACACCGTTGGATGCCGGCTCAGTGGTCTACAGATTAGGCGTTTTCGTGAAAGATGGAAGGTCCTGGATTCGAATATTGCAAGTAGTCGGAGTCGTGGATGCGCACCATTGATGAGCTATTCTCATAATAGGGCGAAACGGCCATCTAGTGCTCTTAGGTTTCTAATGGTGGTCTAATAATGATTCATTCATGATTACAACGTCAAACAACAATCTCCAGAATACTGTAGGAAAAAAATCGAATTAACCTAGATAAATCTCTTCTTAGCTTCGAATCAATAACTTAGCCTTGAGCTATTTGTTTGCACAATGGCAAGTGTTACTCAGTATTCAGATGTTTAAATAGACGTAAGAGAATAAAGATTTTGGTTCTCTGTCTACTACTGATTAGCAACCATGTGCTCAACTCGTTACCATCAACTTATAGTCGTAACTTTCTGAAGAGTTTTTGATCTAAACGAAATGTGAATTACAACTGTTTACAATCACTTTCCATTTGATTTGTAAGTGATTCCACAGAATGATTTAACAAGGTTGTATGATTTAATTTTAGGTTAGTTTTAAGGAATTGTCTTTTCAGTAAGTAAGAGAAACTATTTTAACTAGGCAAAATACTTTGAATCTGTTAGCCAGACAATATCAGCAACCACCAGAGGAAGGAATCAGGAAAATATGCTGGATGCGGATAGGATACTTATTGAGGAAAGCATCTAGCTGAGTCCCAGGACAAATCCTCATAGGGAATACTCAAGGCCAAATGTGAAGAAGAAGACCAGAGAATATGTTACGCCGAGAATCGGAAGCCCATATGATAGGAATGAACAGTATTTGTGTAGAACTGTAAAGGAAAACCCAGGACAGAGTAGGTTGGAGAATACTGGTCAGAGGCCTATGTTCCACTGGATGGAAACAGACGTAAATAATCTATTCGATTCACACATTCACCATACACAATGTCGCATTCTTGCTTAATATTTAATTGAATTGGTCTTAGGTTAGTAAACATAGATGAAGACGTGGGTTTGCTTAGTTCAGTTTACCGACATAAGTGAAAAAATCGTCAGTAGGATATTTTTAAACAAGCGTAACGGATGTAGAATGGGGATGATTGATCAATGTACTATCTAATTGTGTTTTTTGATAAGTTCAACAGAACAAAGTTCGTAGTTTTGACGTGTTCATTTGTTTCCAACTTGGGGAAGAAAGCATGAACTCTTGTATCATTGGCCAGATTGTACCAGTTAATTCTAGTTTCGGAATCAAAAATAAAATTAGTGTGTCGTGTAATGTATCTACTTTTATGGCGACCCTACAGGGCTTGTACCAATTTATGAGACAAATTAATTAGCTAATCCATTCTTCACAAGTTACTAATATTCACTCATCTTTTGACGTTGTCAATCATTCACTTATATCTTGGTCATTATTATCCGAGTGTGTTATACTGCTTACTTCGTTTACCACATATCTAGTTGAATTTTGTGTGACTTTAAATGCTTAGCCAAGAATCATTGCATTGAGTTGGCTCTCTTGCCTCCGCTTTGCTGGTACACATTGTATTCTAATGTCTATCTAAATGAATGATTGTCTGAAATAAACCCATCCAACCGAATACGCATTTGGCTTCTAATCACCGCTGTCGTACAAGCAGAGTTCCCCTAAGTGTGACATATGGAAACTGAACGGGACATTTATTTCATAGAATTCTCTAATATTCTTAAATAAAGTCAGGTCACAGGTCGTTAAAGTAACGAGTCGTAATTCGAGTTCAACACAGACCACTAAAGTGGTTTCAGTATCATATCAACTTTGTTTGAAGAAACATCAAATCCCTCAGAAAATGTAGAAGTTACTTTTTCCATAAGCTGAAAATGTGTATTTAAATGGCGTTTGTCATGAGAAAAATTCTTTGAGCTTATCAACTGACAGAAATTTTTTCAGATTAATACTTAATACTATGTACTGGACTAATGTATGAAATAAATTCATTCAACTGATTCCGTATTTAACTTTTTATTACCGATGTTGCATAAACGTAGTTCGCCGAAGAATGATGTAAGGGAAAAATAGAAAGGAAGATTTATTTCATTGCATATTTGACTATTCGTTCATATTGAAATCAGATAACGATTCACTAAGTTAATATTATTCAGTACATAAGAATGATTTTATTTTTAATGTGATTTTATCTTTAGTCTACATGATGTTTCGCTTGTATGGAATGAACAGCATTGATACTGAACAGACAATATTTTGTTATAGTTTCATCGATATGTGACTGCCATTTTTTTATAAGAATACATAAAGTTTAATTCTAACCACAAGTTGTCACATTGAAGCTGGTAGTGATTGTTTTGAACATGGCACAAATCCATGAAGTCATTGACAAGTGGACTAAGTCATGTTGGTAGGTGTCGACTACCTGGTTGGGGTCCGTGAGATGATAATAATCGATGGTTACAGACCCTGAATGATATGACTCGAAATTGTTTGCAATGAAGCAGGTGTATTCATTCTTTGTGTTCTCGCAAATCCTAACCTTCAGAGTTCCGCATCAACTTTATCTTTTTAGTTTATTCCACTCTATTCTACTTCTGGAATAATACCGTCGCACCCTAAAACATCCGATTACTGCTAATATTTCTCTACCTCTAATACTGTGAGATTTTAAGTGACAATTGCATCTGTGCTAATGTGGTATGGCAAATTGAACTGATGTACGTACGTACGAAGTTCTATGTTGTTGTTGAATGACTGTTTTAAACGTGATACTGTTTTCGGCAACTTTAGTTGATCGAAAATTACAACCCACAACTAGAGTAGTACCATGGCATTATATTTACCTACCGTAAGTGTAAAACGCTTTGAGTACAGAAATAATTAAATAAATGATGACTCTCTATAGGGAAGAGTTCATCACATTTCAAAATAATACAGTGGAACAAAGCAGATAATATATACGTTAGTCAGTCAGCTAAAACATAGAACGTCATACACACGTCAGTCAGCTACAACGTAGAAATTCGTACGTACGTACATCAGTTCGAGCTGCTATACAGCATTAGCACAGAGACGGAATTGTCACTTCAAATCCTATAACAGTAGAGGTAATAGAAGTATTAGCAGTAATCGGAAAGATTACGGTTCGAAGATATTATTCAAGAAGTAGAATCTAGTGAAATAAACTTAAAAAGATAAAGGTGATGAAGAATCTAGAGGATTAGGATATGAGAGAACACAAAAATTAGATGCACTCGTGTCATGCCGTTCAAGATTGCCAACGATCGATTACAGACGCACATCAGTTCAAGTTGTCATACCACATTGACACACAGACAGATCAATTTTTCAATTCAAATCCCATTGTAATAGACGTAGCTGAAGTATTAACGGTTATTATAAAGACTGGAGACCGAGGATACGATTAGACAAGTATATCCCAGTGAAGTAAATTGAAGAAGAGAATAAAGGATATACGGAATACAGCAGATTAGAATCTGAGAGAAGATAAAGAATGGGGCCATCAAAGCCATTCTAAACGGTCTTCAGCCATATCATTCAGTCACTAACCATCGGTTACGGTTCTCTCGTGGTCTACACCTACCAACATGGCCCAGTCCACTTGTCAGTGACTACATGGCTTTGTGCCATGTTTTGGTATGGCCGCCCCTTAGACTTATTCCAGCCTAGCTAGATATCACAAAACATTGTTCGACGAGGCAGTTCAGACAACAACCTCAACTGATGGTGATTCACCACAATGATTGATATGCCATCTTTACCCAGTAACTGTTTCTTAACAACAGTATACAAGCAAAGACACCTATGATAAAATACTAGTAACCTACGAATGTTATCTATTCTTAGTGGTCATATTTCACACCCGCACAAAGTAAGACGGAGCAAACTGCCGCACAGTAAACCCATCCTTTGATTAGCAGACCGATTTCTCTCCTACGCCACCAATGACGCAAGTTGACAAAAGCCTATCGAGCCTTTTTTTTATCCTTGCTGAGATTTCGTCACATAACAAGGCCATCGGCACTGTTGAGACTACCAAGATAAGAGAAGCGGTCAACACTTTAATGCCTTCACATACATTTGAGTTCGCTCATATTTAATTTGGTTAAGGCCTTTCGATTAAATTATTTAACCAAGCCATTTGTATAGCAACAACATTATATATATATATATATATATATATCATTGGTTTTTATTATTGCCTGGTTTGTATGAGCTGGTACAACTGAAAATTGCTTACCAACTACGTGCATATTCATCCTATTCGCTTTAATGTTAACCTCTTCAATATTTCGATGCATCAGCCATTTTCCTATACATATTTATAGATACATTTTAATCTTATTAATTCATACGCCAATTCGCTCACTCGCTAACTTGCTTGCCTTTCACTCCGTGTGCCTGTTAGTTTGTAGTCCGATTGTGGTATGGCGAAAATAAACATATTCAACACACTTCGTATTCGCCTTCTGATTTATAAACCGCGAAGTGCTATCCAGTAACGGTTGTATGGACGAGCGAATTACAAAGTGTAAGAACACGTTCGATGCCGACCTGTCACGAAAATAGTGATACATTGGCCACCATAACACTTTCAACTACTTCAAACCCTATCACAATATATCTATACGTCAATTATTAAGCAGACAGATAATTGCGAATAGCCTGTTAAAATATCATCGACTGCTCCCCTTCTCTTTCACAAAATACACATAATTTTCATATGAAAATGTTAATTTAACAAAATCTCAATACCAACAATCAAATTATGTAACTGTTAGGCTATTCATCCAATACCCTAAGAGAATTATTGGTCAATTCCTATTGATTGCTTCCTACTGGTTAATTTTATGGTCGTCCTAGATATCGATGTCACATGCTCCAATGTTGTTTCTTATTGCTTGTCCTAACTATTAATATCACTTCAAATGTTGCTTCCTATTGGTCATTTTAACTGTCAATATCACACACTTCGATGCTGTTTCCTATTCGACCAAAATGTATAAATACGCATTATCTATAACGTCTTATGTCCCGGATCCCTAGTCCGGGATCCTGATTCTCTTCTGGACTCGGACCTCGTACTTTCTGGATGCTTACAGAATACAAGTTCTACTTCATATCAAGTCTTCTTATTTTTACTCAATATGGGGATTCGGATAATCGGATTTGAGTAGCATGTCGTGTCACCGGATCCTCGCTCTCGTTTTCCGACTAGGTAACTCGTAATAGCATTCAAGTATATCAAGTTGACATGTTTGTGTGCAGGCGTAACAGTAACATACAAAAAGGAAACGAAAAAAAGAATAAAGATTTTATTACACATAGAAAAAAAGACATAGAAAAAAAATTTAGTGCAATTTACAATTCAGGATGTAATTTTTTAAATAATTCATCTGGATCTTCATTACATGCAGCCGGTGTAATCAATTGCATGACATATTCACAACGTGATGGTTCACTCACAGAAGTCAATTGATTTTTGTCACCACAATGAACAAACACCTAGAATATATGTGTGTGTGTGTGAAAAAATGTTGAAACAATGTTAGAATGATAAGAATTTTTGAAATAGAATAATAAGTTGTAAAAATTTGAACAGTTCAATGAAGTCATTGACAATGAGACTGTACCGTATGTTAGTTAGTGAGTGAGTGTAGATTAATCTGGTAGGGGTCGCGCTGCATGACAATGATAACTAGTGATTTGAGGCTTTAAATGGCATGGATCGTATACACTGGTATAGGTGTATCCATTCCTTTGTCTTCTTTCAAATTCTAATCTTCTGCATTCCTGATCACCTCGCTTTTTCTCAAAACCTATATTCAAACCCTAGCACTACTATTAAGAGATTTGAATTGACAATTTCAATCTCTGTGTGTTAATGCGGCATGACAAATTGAACAATGACGTACGTCTGTATCAAGTTCTAAGCTGTAGATGACTAACCGATAAAAAGATAAACCTTTAAATGCCCCTTATGGGGCTACTCCCGGTCCCAAGTCTGGATAAAAGAAAAGGGTTGGGCATGGAGTTTGCGAACTCATCCCGTAGAAAATAAACTTGTTAAAAAGACGCTAACCAGAAAAATGAAGGTCGATGGCCTATACTCTTTTAGGGGTAACAGGCAAGAGTGAATAATTTTATTCCAGGTTTTTTTCGATTGCTTATAACTATTTGAGGAAACTTCAAAGTATTCCTGGGTAAAGTTTGTAGGAACCAAAAATACTCTTGGAAACATTTTATATGATCCGCGTTCAGTAGAAGGTTCACGGACGTATTTAAAAAATCAAGGATCATCTAATACGACCTTGGTTGGATATTGACCTATATCACTATTATATTTAGTATGGTTTCAGAAACTTTCCGGAGCCCGGGGTCATATGTAACCTCCCAATAAATATCCTCAATCTTCGACAAACGAACTGACCCTGGAGTAGAGTTCTCTTTTCTCAGTGTGCACCTTTTCTATTTCGTTCAGTTTGCCGTGTAACTCCGCTTAGAGCCCTTTTGGGGCTACAGCCGGTCCCAAGCCCGGATAAATGAGGAGGATTGGGCATGAGGTTAGCGACTCCATCCCGTAGAAATCTATCTCGCCGACAAAACGTTAACCAAAAGAAAAATAATTCAATCCGCTGTGTACATTCAGACGGGGATTGTTAGAAGTGATAAGGAAATCAGATTTTATATTCATTTAGCAGCCTTATCAACAATTTAAACATAATGATATTTTCTTAATGAAAGGAATTTTTACGGTGAAAATCATGGATTGATCAAAAATAAATTACTATTAGAAACTTAAAAGCATTGGACAGCCTTTTTCGCCCTAGAATAGAACACCTCCACCGCATATCGCAGACCCCAACCAGGTAGGTAGTCAGTCTACACCTACTGACATGGCCCCGATCCAGTTTTCAATGACTTCATGGATTTGTATCGTTCAACGTTTTTTGTGACTGGAAAGAAGGATACCTGATCAAAATACCAAAGAAAGGCGATCTCAGCAAGTGTGAGAACTACACAGGCATCACTCTTCTCTCGATACTAGGCAAAGTCTTCAACAGGGTATTGTTAAACAGAATGCAGGACTTTGCAGACGCCCAACTTCGAGATCAACAGGCCGGATTTCGTAAGGATCGATCGTGTACTGACCAAATTGCTACATTACGGATCATTGTGGAACAATCAATTGAATGGAACACACCATTAAATCAACATCATCGACTATGAGAAAGCATTCGATAGAGTGGACAGGACAATAATATGGAGGTTTCTTCGACACTACAGTATGCCTGAGAAGAGAGTCAATATCATACGGAATTCTTATGATGGATTCAACTGCAAAATCGTGCACGGTGGACATTTAATAGACTCGATCGAGATGAAGACCAGTGTCAGGCAAAGTTGCTTACTCTCACCCTTTCTCTTTCTCCTGGTCATCGACTGGATTATGAAGACGTCAACATCTGGAGGGAAGCACGGCATCAACTGGACAGTTAGGACGCAGCTGGACGATCTGGACTTCGCAGATGACTTGGCTCTTCTATCGCACACGCAACAACAAATACAAGAGAAGACAACAAGTGTAGCAGCAGCCTCAACAGCAACAGGTCTCAACATTCATAAGGGAAAAAGCGAAATTCTCCGATGCAACACAACATGCACCAACCAAATAACTCTTGATGGAGATGCCTTGGAGTACGTTCACACCTTTACACATCTGGGCAGCATCATCGACAACCAAGGTGGATCTGATGCTGATGTGAGGGCGCAAATTGGCAAAGCAAGGGCTGCATTTCTACAGTTGAAAAATATCTGGAACTCCAAACAACTCTCAACCAAAACCAAAATCATGAGTTTTAATACAAATGTCAAGACAGTTCTACTGTATGGAGCGGAAACTTGGAGAACTACAAAAGCCATCATCCAGAAGATACAAGCATTTATGAACAGTTGTCTTAGCAAAATACTTCGGATCTCTTGACGAGACACTATCAGTAAGCAACCTACTGTGGGAGAGAAGAAACCAGATTCCAGCGAAGGAGGAAATCAGGGAGAAGCGCTGGCCCATTTCGGAAAGCACCCACCTGTGTCACAAGACAAACCCTCACGGTCAAAGGAAACGAAGAAGGCTAAGGAACACATCAGGCCGAGAAACGGAGACAGACATAAGAAGAATGAACAACGATTGGACAGAACTAGGAAAGGAAGCCCAGGACAGAGAAGGTTCGGGAATACTGGTCGGTGGCCTATGCTCGACAACACGCATTAGTAAGTAACCTTTATTGTATAAAGAATATTTTATTGACAAATTCCAACAAATCATTGATGTAATTTGTTTAACAAATAAAATTTTTCTAACATAACTACTACTACTACAAGCACAATTAAATGATTCCAAGCCAATCAATAATGACATCTAGTGAATTCCAACACTATGTCTCATTTGTTATTGATGTTGTAATGGTAACACAGTTAATGATTAGTGTTAACAGAGAGAGAGAGAGAGTAAAACAAAAACTACCAAGTGTAAAACAAGGTCAATCGGTTGTTTGGCATTAAAGAATTTAACCGACCGATAATAACAACGACAACAGCGACATTAAACACAGACAGATAAACAGACAGATGAACGTGTTACATTTATGATTAATGCGATTGGTTAGAACACACACTTCAAAAAGTGTATACATACACTTACACATACACGTACAAAGAACATCAACAAACAATGTGTCGGTGTTAATGAGATCAGTCAAATATTCAGTAATGAAGAATCAAACAAAAGACATGTATCGATTCAGGCTGACATTTTACCACGGTAGTTTGCAATTTGCATCACTGATGACATACACACACGAGATACTGATCTGCCGATAAAAGGTTCATGATGATGATGAAAGAGGAAAACAGTTAGCGAATGACAAAAAACCCGAAATTCAGTCAAGTAGTCAGTACACATTTTTGAAACCATGAATCGATCAATGTTAGACCACCATTAGAAACCTGGAAGCACTGAAAGACGGCCGTTTCGTCCTGGTATGGGACTCCGCAGCAGTGCGCATCCACGACTCCTGCATCCCACAGGACTCGAACCCAGGACCTTTGGTATTGTGCGCGAACGCCCTAACCGTTAGACCACTGAGCCGATATCTAACAGTGTTAATGTCTAACTTGATCAGTAATCACGTAGAATTTCATACGTACATACATCAGTTCAGGTCGTCATACCACATTAGCGCACGGAGAGATGGAATCGTCAATTCAAATCACATAGTGTTAGATATAGTAGAATAATTAGCAGTTATTACAAAGATTGGGGATCAAATATATCATTCGAGGATATCACAGTGAAATAAATTTGAGAAGAGGAATATGAAGGTCATAACGGGTTCAGAAGATTAGAATTTGAGAGAACACAAAGAATGGATGCACATACACCATGTCGAACGATTTTGAAACATGTCATTCGAAGTCTCTAACTATTGGATACTATGATCTCGCGGACCACAACCTCGTCGTCTACACCTACCAACATGGCTCAGTCTACTGGTCAATGAGTTTATGGACTTGTGCCATGTTTTGGTCTGGCCGCCTCTAGCTTCCTTCCAGCCTATGCGTGCACCATGCATCATAACCCGTCGGGGCAGTCGGTGGTTGGGCAAACCTAACATATGTCCCAACAACCATCCTTACCAAGAAATCATTTCCTAACAGCATTGCTTACTCCGTTGTCCCAGGATATAAGAGCAATGCTTTAAAGACATCTACAATCGAATACTAATAACCTGCTAATGTCCTCTACTCTGACTGGCCATGTTTCACAGCCTTATAGTAGGACGGAGCGAACTGCTGCGCAGTACATTCGTCCTTGGGTTAGCAAACGGATATCTCGCCTACACCATAAGTGACGCAAGTCGGTGAAAGTCAATCGAGCTTTCTGTATCCGTGCTGAGATATCGATAGTCACAAGGCCAACAGCATTGATCAGACTTCCCAGATAAGGCGGTCAATACGCTTAACTACTTCACTACCTATCACTAGCTCAGGTGCCGATTAGACCCAAATCTGAAGAAATATTTTGCCTCCAGAATATGCTTGTCTTGTTGCTTGTAGTGGTAGGAAGACTGTATTTTGTTAGCATCATCACGAAATAGAACTATGTCATCGGTAAATCCTGAGTCATCAAGTGAATCTCCCCGTAGAAGTCCAACTCCAGAAAATTCAGACGAAGATATTGTTATCTCTAAAAGTATATCTATGACAAATTTGAATAATAATACGAAGACTGGGAAACCTTGACGAACACCATTTGAGGTAACTAGCTCCAATTACAGTTCTCCATAAGCCCTAACTCAGCCAGTAGTGTTCGAGTGAAGAGCTCATATCAGGTTAATGTACATTTTTGGTGCTGCTTCCAGTGACAGATACTGCCACACATCAGACTTAAATGTCATCTGACGGTCATGAAATACCACTATAGTGGGACGTCTGAGCATGTGTCTATGTTCAGAAGACCTATAGCTTTTTCAACTTCATTAAGATTCGGATGACTTACATCAATTAGCCATTCAGGTTGGCTGAAGATCGTGGGTGACCGTAATGTGGCTCAACACCAGTTGAATTAAGCCTATCGGTCTAATCTCCTGCACTGAGAATGAATCATAAGCACATTCATTTCTGAGATAGTCATGCTAACGGTCAGATTCCCAATTCCAGTTGCCTTGATAAGTCTGAACAGTTGTTTACTGTTACCTATAACCTCTGCCTTTTCTATAACTTATGCTTTTGCTACCCACAAGTGTTCACAATCGTTGCTTAAGCTTAAGTTGACTCCGCTCTTCTTCATGTTCAGAGCCAGATGGTATGTGTCTCCAAGCGTTTATAGATAGATGCTACTGAAATCAACTGTTTTCTCCCTAACTTTATATTTTACTTTACTAGAGGATATTACTGCTGTTTCCACAGCCTTCTAGATATCGTTTCAAGCTTGTTCGGGGTGGAAATCACTTGTATGACAGACTAACTGTGCATCTAGTTGCGCCTGAAATATATTCTTTGCCTTGTCATCATTAAGTAGAACCCTAAGACACTTCCTTGCGATGTCTTTCCTATGTTCAATAAGTCGCAAACAAATAAGCGCTCACACTAGAGCATGATCTGAATCTAGACATGTGCCTCAGAACGAGCGACAATCCTCTATCGAACCCCTCCATCGGTGGCTGATAGCGACGTAACCTAGTTGAGTTCAGCGTTGGGACGACTTTGGGGGTCGCCAGCTCAAAAGATGTTTATCCTTCTGCTTAAAGTTACTATTTGCTAGAAATTCGCAATTATCTGAGAGTAGTTTCAGCAGATGGTCGCCATTATATGTTCTGTTAGTTGCGACATTACAAGGCCCATCAAGGTGTCTTTCAGTTTCGCTTAGTCTACTTACTTAAGCAATAAAGTCACCAGCCACGATTACTATATTAGAGCGCCTAATTTTTTGAAGGAAGTCCGAAAGCTTTCCGTAAAAAATCATCTCTTACCTTATCTGAACTACAATCAGTAGGGACATAGGCAGAAACGACGAAAAGGCAACGGCGAGTATCCCTATTTTTCCGAGTCCTTACTGTCCCGTTTAGTCGGACAGCGCAAAAGCAATAACCTATTGGGGTCCAGTCTAAGAGAACTAGTTCTGCCCTAAGACTCAGTGCTATACCTACACCACCAAGGCCACGGGAAGCATCGTCAGGGCTTCCAAATACACGGGGCTTAAGTCAACACAGTTCTTTATTTGGACAAGATGAAGTCACACTAACAGTTCTATTCGGATCCTGTATGCAGGTTTCAGAGCGAGATTCTAAAGTCCTAGTTAATTAAGCCTGTTTTAACATGTATTTTGAAGAGGAGTTTCAGGAGGCCAGAAATAACGTTTCGCGTACCCAAATCGTTTTCATTAACGGTGCGAGGTGATATAAAATAGAACATCAGAAGGTTTAGTCATGGAGGTAAGAGAGTTAATAAAAAAAACTATAGGAAGGATTCAATTACGACTAGTTTGATTTAAATACCAAAAATTGAACTATTTCAACAGTTACAACAACAACAAACAACAAAACATACTTTTGTTGATCTTGTCGGTCCATTCCAACATGGTAAACCATTGTCATAATACATAATTTTATAAGTTTTTTCTAATTCATCCGATTCTAACCAACGACCCCAACGACCTATACATGTACCAAAATCTGTACTGGATGAACCAATTGATCTTTGATGTATCGATTTAAATGGACATAAACTATAAGTGTATTCTCGATCATTCAGTTCTAAACAACCATTGGATTCTTGTAATTCAGTTAACATACGAAAACCTTCTTCTGGTCCATAATCAATTGGAATTGGAGTTGGTTTACTGTGAAGTAAAATAAAATAAAAAATAACATGCATGAAATATAAGGATAAACTATATAGCATAGATAGGTATGTATGTATGTATGTATGAATTATTCAAGATAAAATAGGTCAACAAAAATGATCACCTAATTAGACATATTAGGTGAATAGAATTATGAAGATCGTTGTGTTACATTGGAATCGTGATTTAATTAGCATTAGAAGCAATATAAGAAACTTGGAAACACTGGATGGTCGCTTCGTCCTAGTATGGAAGTGGTGAGTATCTACGACTCCTGCTACTGGCGGGATTTGAACGCAAGATCTTCGGTCTCGTGCACGAACATTTAACCTCTAGACCAAGTCAGCTGGTATCCAACAGTCTTAATGTTTAACTTTAATCAATCTAAGGATTTTGTATAACTTCAGGTTTCTAATGGTGGTTTCACGATGATTAAATCTTGATTTCAATGTAAACTGACGATCTCCATAATACTATGATGAAAAATTCATAAAATTTGCTCATAAGTGACTAGCTTTGTAAGGTAATTCTCGGAGTGTTCTAGTGAGATGTGACCAGTGGGGTTCAATCCTGTCAAGTGTAGGCAGTAACTACAAAAGACAATGGATGAGGCTGCGCGAAATTCCTTAGACATTAACACCGTTGAATGCAGGCTCAATCATCCAGAGGTTAAGCGTTCGCGAATCCTGATAGTAGCAGGAGTCGTGAATGCGAACTGCTGATGAGCCAGTCGCGTGCCAGGACCAAACTGCCGTCCAGTGCTTCCAGGTTTAACAATATATCATTTATCTTTGAAGTAGTAAACATTCCCCATGGTTGTTTATTTCCATGAGGTAGACAATAGTAGCAGCGGATAAGAAAAATAAAATAAGCAAACATACATAATCCGCGCTCGCGTTCAGACTAAGCGGGGCGAAAAGAAAACGATGAGTATTTTAGTCTTAGATAGTAGTTAATTGATAAATACATATAATTTCAATGAGCATTTAACAAATAGCAAGTTAATTTGACTAAAATATAGGTGTAGCCGTAAATTCCAACTTACCATTTGACTTATTACGTATTGGTGTATAGCTTACCGTGTTATAGATAATGGACGATGAAGTACAATACATTAAGAGATATAGAAAATAATCGTTTGTGACTTATTTGGTCTCATGTGCTGTTACAGGTATGCAGGTGGCTGCCTGTTGGAGACGTTAGATCCCCAGAACTCGCTTGATAAAGGTCCTCATTTTGGATTGTATGCTTTCGCACATGGGTTGATCAGCTGAGCTTGACATTACACATCCCACTCGGATAATCCTTAACTGTTGTTGATTGATATATTATTTTAGTACGCTATTTTTGTGGATCTCACAAGGACGTTTCTATTATGTATAAATAAGCTCGATTTGTGTGCTTGAAAAGCCTCATATTTTCTGGATACTTATAGGACACACTTTCTACGCCATATCAAGACTTGTTCGTCTACTTAGTGGGGCATTGGGACGCTCGGATTAAAGTAGACTATCGTGTCACTGGATCATTTGTCTTCGTTGTCGTTTACCGACTAACGTGAACTTGTAATAGCATTCAAGCATATCAATTTGACAAGCATAACACTGCCCACAACGTTAAGTTGACAAGTTGATCTTTGTTTGTACTACTAATATAGTGGTAGAACAACTTGAATGGATGTACATGCATACGTACGTACGTACGCAAAAAGTTCTATGTTGTAGCTGAATGACTGACAGGAGAATACTATTATCGAAACCATGAATCGATCAATGTTAGACCACCATTAGAAACCTGTAAGCGCTGGACGGCCGTTTCGTCCTGGTATGGGACTCCTCAACAGTGCGCATCATTAAGATAGTTTCGCTGGTAGCCAAAAATTACGTCCGATGAATTTGAACAACCGCATACTGTTACCTGCCCTTATCATTTATATTTTTGCCCAAAACCGTTTAAATCATTGAGAAACTAGTTTTCATTCCACAAGCAATGCTGTTGATCGGAAACGGGTACTAGGTAGGAATGGCAGAACAATTGATGAAGCAATGAAACTTCATCAGTTGAGGTGGTTGGGACATGTGTTGTGTATGCCTAACCACTAACTGTCTCGTCGAGCTATGTTGGACGAAAGCTAGGGCAGAAATCAATGAAGTCATTGACGAGTGGACTAAGTCATGTCGGTAGTTGTCGACTATCTGGTTGGGGTCCGCGAGATGATAATAATTGATGGTTAAAGACCCTGAATGACATGGCTCAAAATCGTTCGCAATGGCGCCGGTGCATTTATTCTTTGTGTTCTCTCAAATCCTAATCTTCTGGATTCTTCAACACCTCTAGTTTTGACTTTCTAAACTTTTCTCACTGAATCATACTTCTTGAATAATATGTTCTAATCCTAACCTTTCCGATTACTTCTAATACCTTAACTACCTCTTCTACTATTGGGTTTGAATTGACAGTTACATTTCTGTGTTCTAATGTGTTATGGCAGCATGAACTGATGTAGATACGTATGAAGTTCTACGTTGTTGCTGATTGACTGATGCTGTTTTGAAAATTTCACGGAGCTTAAGCGTTCGTGCTCAAGATCGAAGGTCCTCGGTTCGATTCCCACGTGCAGAAATCGTGAGTATGTGCTGCTGATGAGACAGTTCTATGCTAGGACGAAACAGATGTCTTGTGCTTCCAGGTTTCTAATGTTGGGTCTAACATTATTGATTGATTCATGATTTCAAATAAATCCCAACAATCTTTACAACTCTATAATGACCTATTTAATAGGAACAATATATGGATTAAGAAGCATAATAATTTTACATTGTCATATGAAAGATATTGTTAGATAGTGGAAAGAAGGCAGGAGAAATAAACTGTAGATTTAAATGTAACACTAACTACTATCTGTCCCTACAGTGGATTAACAAGTCTCTGCAAATTCAGTTTGTGTTATAAGTCCAATGGTTATCACTGAGTTATTTGGGTAGAGATTAATCTCTCATAACCGAAGAAGGTGGTTATTTCAATGGGGGCCAAACCCCGACCCTTAGACCAACAGGTCTAATACATAATAAGGCATTCGAACAACATCAGACGATGCAATTCCATATAGTAGCTGCTGATCAACTGCAGTTTCATACACCATTTGTTCCCCAAGTTTCATAGACAACACCTATACCACAAGAAATCAGTGAGTAGGATATCTCTGACAGTGATTATCTACATATAGTCATATTAGAAGAGCATTTTTAGAATAACAAAGGACTTGACAACACACTCGACTAAACCAGGGCATTTGAAGGCCATTCATATGGATTTACCTATAATATACAGAAAGTGCCAGTGTGGTGTTATGTTAGACGGATTCTAAATATTGCTTATACAATTCTTATTCATAAAAACCTAAATGAGTGCCACAAATTGATCGAACATTATGCGAATTTTGTATTTTGATAATGGTAATCAGTAGTAGTAGTAGTAGTAGTAGTATATAAATATCTTACAAAATAAATCATTTATACTATAACTTGAATGCACTGCGTAACATAAACTCATAATTTTTAAACAACCAGATTAAAATAATTCTGTCTAGAAATTAGTATTCATTCTAGTTGATTTAAAAAAAAATCGTACAAAATTTTCATACAACATAAGAGTGAAAAAAACAAAAACACCTAATAATCAGAAACTGTGTTTTGACCTAATTTTTTTTACTGATTTTATCAGTTTACTACTTAAACTACTACTACTTATCCATAAACCATTTTATGCATAATCCATAAAGTAATTTAGATTATCACAGTAGATAGATAGTTGAGCTTTCTGATGAATGATCCTGAAGAAGATTAGAGTAATAGTTCATTGCTACGATGAACTTAGCGAATGATTATGATTATTATTATTGATTACGAGTGACGTTTATGAATCGATCAATGTTAGACCATGATTGAATCATCAATCAATTAATCAATCAATAGCAACGGTGAACTTCGTATGTAAGTACACGTACGTACGTATATCAGTGTTCAAGTTGCCATAAATCACATTATCATACGAAGATGTAATTGTCAATACAAAGGATTTGATTTTGAACAATTTTGGCTCGTGTGCTGTTACGGGTATGAGGTCGGTTGTCACTTCCCGACTGCCCATAGCGTGGAAGTAAGGTAAGGATGGCAGATCATTAGATGAAGTGGTGAAACTTCATCAGTTAAGGTGGTTGGGACATGTGTTACGAATGCCTAACCACCGACTGCCACGACGAGCTGTTTTGTGGTGTAGGAGTAGGTTGGAAGAAAGTTAGGGGCGGCTAGACAAAAACATGGCAGAAATCCATGAAGTCACTGACAAGTGGACTGAGTCATGTTAGTAGTTATTAGCAGTAATCAGAAATTTTAGGGTTCGCTCATATTATTCAAGCAGTATAATCTAGTGAAATAAGCTTGAGAAGATAAATTGATGACGAGACCACGATTAGAAATCTGGAAGCACTGGTTTCAATGAAACTCAATAATCTCCAAAACCATTTATTGAATATTATCGAATATTAACCCTTCTATATTGGCAAGGGTAGCTTCACACTGGTTTTCAGGAGAAGCAAGGAGAATGCCCACGTGTTAACATTTCAGTGTGAACACTTCAGCGCCATCCCGTGGTGCAACCACCAGACAGGTACCTGATACCCTTTGCACCATTCACATCACTGATATACAGTGATTATTTTCGATCCACGGTCGCGTCAATCGATATGCACCGCATGAACAGGCCAATTCGACCCGTCCCGCTTACATGACTGTCACAAGCTCATTATTATTAGCAATAGTGATATGCAATACAGTATCTCAGTAACAATGGCCGTCGTGATTGTTGCAAAACAACCATCAGTATCAATGAAATCGGTCACTGTGATAACCAATTTTGTATATAGACTGTTAGCAAAACTTATCAAAGCAATACCAAGCCATCTACAATGTTCACAGCGAACCTCTGGTCTCATGGGAAACCTTCAGCTCTATATAGCAGTATAGCACATGGTATACACACTGTATGGCATAGGATAACAAGAGATGCAGTCCAGCTTGATACGAATGGGCTCAAACACTCTTACTAACTTTTGTCTCATGTTGGCTAATGATTTTTTTCTCAATACCGAAAATTTCATTTTTCGACCATATGAAACCTGAGTGACCGCAGAGCCCAAGGGAAAACTGCTTGAGTCCGGTCAGGCAAGACCTTTTTATGAGAGGTTTTTGGAGTATTAGCTCCGCTTGTGTTTGAAAGCCCTTACCGCTGGAGACGCAAATCCGTGAGGTAAGGTGAGGCGTGACATTCAAGGGTCAACCATGTCTAACCCCTTCCTAGTGAGAAGGCAGATGCTGGTTGTTCTTACTACTGTCACACCGCTCTACAGTCAGCAGTACGATTTCGCTCTCACAGCCTGAGTTGCTGCTTTGAGTCCTACCGCTCTTCAATCAACCTCCTTGGCATAGTAGAACCTAAAGAAACAACTATTTCAGCCAATATAGCTCGGTTGGATCATCATAATATAGACAAACCCGAACAGCACCACCACGTCAAGGTCGCAGCTACGCACTGGATAGGATTTATCTATTAAACATTGAAGGATCGTGTATTTTACATGTGTGTGTGTTTAAAATAAACTTAACAAAACCATTAAAACAGAATGAATCATTTCTAAGAAGAAAAAAAAGAAAACTTACTTTGTATGAACAAATTTTTCATCGATCGATGGCGTTACGATGTTTTCTGGAGAGGAAAATAGGAAATAAAAACAAAGTTTGAATACCAAACAAAAAACATTAATTCCTAAATAATAATTAGCATAATTGTAGTGTTAATAAGATAGATAACTAGTCATTGAGATGCAATATCTCTATTTACTGAACGACCAAATACTCAGAAGCGAGCACTGATGTGAAACACAAGTGTGTTCTATCATACTGATATTAATTACAGGTTAGTAAATAGACGAAGAAATTTACAATGGAATATTCGAAAAATGAGTACGTTAAATTTGATTGATCATATTAACAAAATACTTTCATATCATTTAGAAGCATTGCACGTATATCGTGGGACACCCGAGTGAGCAACGCAGTTATTAGGAAACGGGTGCTAGGTAAGAATGGTAGATCAATAGATGAAGTAATGAAACTTCATCAGTTGAGGTGACCGTTTGCAATGGCGCTGATGCATTTATTCTTTGTGTTCTCTCAAATCCTAATCTTCTGGATACTTCAACACCACTAGTTTTGACTTCCTAACCTTATCTTACTGAATCATACTTCTTGAATAATATCTTCTAATCTTTACCTCTTCGATTACTTCTAATACCTTTACTACCTCTTCTACTATTGGATTTGAATTGAGAATTATATCTCTGTGCTAATGTGCTATGACAACATGAACTGATGTACTTATGTACGAAGTTGTACGTTGCATCTGACTGATTGAAGTAAATGGAGAATGACGAACATTGACTATAACCCGAATTCTACACATCTACACAAATAACTAATGTCTAAATATATATATATATATATATATATATATATATATATATATATATATATATATATATATAGAAAAAATAATCATTATTCGTATACCATGATGTGATGATTCGTCATCATGAAGTTGTTTATCTGCATTGACAGTGTTTGATTCATCATGATCATCTTGTTGACTGTTGTCATTCCTATCATCATTATCACCACGACTTGCATCATTGTCATAAGATTGTTTCTCATGATACTCTGTACCACTTGAAGAAGATTGATCATGTTCTCCAACCAACTGATTGTCATCATGATTATTATCATCATGTGTAGCCGATTGTTGATTTGAATCCATAGATGATGAAGATGGTGCATTGAATGTTTGTTGTTGTTGTAGTTGTTCATCCACCTTATCAACTGGTAAATGACTATTGACACTTTCATCATGCACTTGGGTACTTTCTTCATTATTGCGGTTATCATTAGAACTACCACTACTACTGCTGCTGTCATCACTATGAATATCATATTCCGCTAGTTTATGTGTTTCATCATAATCATGTTGTTCTTTAAATAGTCCTTTAGCTTTACGTTCTTTTAACTTGTTATCATAAGAGAATATGAAAATGAAAATTTAAAAAAAAAAAACTGAATTAAATTTAAAAATTAAGCACAAAAAACAAAAGAAGAGGGAAATACAAATTTCAAATTTTACATAAATTATGTATTTTAAAAGGAATCAGACAAGAAAATAAAGTTGAGAAAAATGTCAGGATGTTTCATCTCTGCATGGAACTCATCATCTAACTTTACATCAATACATAAACGAGTAAGCAATGCTGTTGTTAGGGAAACGGGTGTTAGGTAAGGATGGCGAATCAATAGATGAGGTATTGAAACTTCATCAGTCGAGGTGGTTAGGACATGTGTCACGCATGCATAACCACCGACTACCTCACTGAGCTATGTTTTGCAATATACGAATAGGCTGGCAGAAAGCTAGGGACGGCCAGATCAAAACATGGCGCAAATCCATGAAGTCACTGACAAGTGGACTGAGTCATGTCGGTAAGTATAGACTACCTGGATGGGGTACGCGAGGTGATAGTAACTGATGGTTAGAGACCTTGAATGACATGGCTCAAAAATGTCTGCAATGTCGATGTGCATCCACTCTTTAAGTTCTCTCAAATTCTAATCTTTCGAGTTCCTTATGACCACTTTTTATGCTTCCTTTGTTTAAAATTCATTCCTCTGGGACATACTTCTCGAATAATATGTGCGATCACTTACCTTTCCAATTACTGTTTATAATTCTACTATCTCCACCACTATGGGATTTGAATTGACAATTGCATCTCTGTGCGAATGTAATATGGCAACTTGAACTTATGTGCATACGTACAAAGTTCTATGCTGCTACTGACTGACTGACTGGGCAGTGGAATCCAGCATCTGCGTTTCGTCCTATTTGGAACTCGTTAACTGGGATGTGATTGCATCTCAAAGGTGGAAACGCACGTGCTACTTAAATTCACTACTAGCCACTATTCATCTCTGTCAATAATGCGCATGTAGGCTAAGGGCAACATCGAGTCGAAATTCGCACAGGATGTACATTTGCCAAAGAAACTGATCATTGAATATAATTGTATACATCAATCGGAATATTCGAACAACCAGCACAATTAAATCAACATATTCTGGTGTTCGTTTTTTTCTATATTTGGCTAACGAAAGTTATGCAATGTTATTTTAAAAACTAAAATAATCTAGGTCAGTCAGTCATTTACAACGTAGAACTTCGTGCGTACGTACATACGTTCAGGTCGTATTAGCACACAGAGACGCAACTGCCAGTTCAAATCCCATAGTGGTAGAGATAGTAAAAGTATTAGCAGTAATGGAGAAGATTAGGGTACGAGGATATGATTCAGTGAGACAACTTTAGAAAGAAAAGGATAGATATGATGAGAAATTCAGTAGATTAGGATTTGAGAGAACACAAAGAATAGATGCACCGGCGCCACTGCAAACGATTTTAAGACATGTCATTCATGGTCTCTAACCGTCGATTACAATCATCTTGCGGGCCTCAAACAGGTAGTCGACACCTACCAACGTGGCTCAGTTCAGTTGTCAATGCCCTCATAGATTTCTTCCATGCTTTACTTTCGCCGTCGCTAGCTTTCTTCCAACCTATTCCTAAATCGCAATGCATAGCTCGACAAGGCAGTCGGTGGTTCGGCATGCGCAACAAATGTCCAAACCATCTCAAATGATTAATTTTCACTACTCCACATATTGATCTGCCCCCCTTACCTAGGACCCGTTTCCTAACGACAGCATTGCTTACTCGATTGTCTATAAGAGCCACCATTTTCAACATGGCAATTACTAAAACCTCCAAATAAAGCAATAGACCAATATGATTTATTTATCTATCAATCATAAGTTTACGTATTTGACCCAAGGACCAACTAGTGATTATTTTACGGCTGCACAAAATAAAACAGACAGAGTGAGATTTAAACTTTCTTGGGTCATGTACTTTAATCACGAACCATCAGAAAATATTTTCAAATATGAAAATCAAACCAAGTCAAACATCTGAAAACACTGATACCTTAAACAAAGAAGTCAGATAGCTAGAACTAGTTTAATTCGGAATTCTCAAATTAATTGAACGCTATTATCAGCGCAGTATAAATAATGATCAATCTAGTCTGATAAAATATATCCCTCCGATTTCATCTCAAGATTGAAACCTTTTTCTGTTGTTACACATTGATATCATGAATCAATCATTGTTAGACCACCACATTAGCAAACCTGGAAGCAGTGGATAGTCATTTAGTCCTGGTATGGGACTCATCAAAAGTGTGAGTCTACGACTCCTGCTAACCGCACAGGATTCGAACCCCAGACCTTCGATCTTGTGCGCCAGTGCCTAAACCTCTAGACCACTGAACCGGCATCTAAAGGTACTACTGATTAAGTTTGATCAATCAAGGGGTTCGGCGTGACCTGACCCATTTGGCTTTATTTGAAACCGCACACACACACATACACACAAACAAAACTTACATTTTCAACGTATTCTTTGAAAATCTTATGTCCTTGTTCAATTTCATTACGTTTAATGGATTGCGCTTCACGTAATGATGCAGCCAAAGCACTAAAAAGAAAATACACATATTGGCATACATAAATAACACAAGAAGACGAGAAATACGCACACATGCATGCACGCCTAGACACACATACACACGCACAGACACAGAATGTGAATAGGAGAAGTAGGCAGTAGATATATTAGACACAACAAAACACAAGTCAACAAGCCGTATTATCCGATGACAATGATAATGACGCTTAAATATTTACTGCATTGATTAGAAATTCTCAAATGTTTTCATAATCAAGTGTTGTAGATAGAAGAGAGAAGAATAGTAAAATTAAAAAATCTATGTCAATATTTCATGAGAATATTGATTTTAAATGGAATTTCAATTAGAATTGGCAGTGACAACAACAACAATAAAAGGTGGCTTTAAATTTCATCTACATAGAACAAAGTTCTACTTTTTTTTCTGGCTCTGTGTTTTATTGATCACTGATCCGTAAAAACAAGAAATAACAATTTCTATTTGTTCAATGAATTACAAATTATTGTCAGATTGAAAGAAATAGTCACTAAATAGCCCCTAATACAACTGAGAGTAAGGAGAGTCCTCTTTACTTCTCCTGCTAGCCAAAGTGAAGGAGATTCTGTTGGAGTTGCACAATGAATATCTCATCTACTTTATGTTTAGCAAAAAGAACTTATTAGACAAATAAATGGGGAGTAGCGAAGGGATCTCTTCTAGGTTCGACCATTATTGCTATTTTTCTGGCGAAAAACTGAAAAAATGGATCATCCACACACATCTTGAATAAGCTAGATTAATACTGCTGATACATAGATGACAGACTAATCCCGTGAGAAGAAATTATCCAGCTACTAAATTCACTAACGAGGAGGAGAACAACAGTAGCATAGTTTTCTTTGATATCCTGCATTTTAGAGGGATAGACATCATCATCATCAACAGTAACGTAGAACTTTGCACGTAAGTACAGCAGTTCATGTTGCCATACCACATTAACACAGAGATACAATTATCAATTTAAATCCCATAGTAGTAGAGGTAGTAAAGGTATTAGAAGTAATCGGAGAGGTTAGGATGTGAAGATATTATTCAAGAAGTATGATTCAATGAGAAAAGTTTACAAAGACAAAACTAGAGGTATTGAAGAATCCAGAAGATTAGGATTTGAGAGAACACAAAGAATAAATGCACCGGTGCCATTGCAAACGATTTTGAGCCATGTCATTCAGGGTCTCTAACCATCGACTATTATCATCTCGCGGACCCAAACCAGGTAGTCGACAACTACCGACATGGCTCAGTCCACTCGTCGATGACTTCATGGATTTCTACCATGTTTTGGTCTGGCCGCCCCTAACTTTCTTCCAACCTACTCCTACACTACAAAACAAAGCTCGTCGAGGCAGTCGATGGTTAGGTATTCGTAACACATGTACCAACCATCTCAACTGATGAAGTTTCACTACTTCATCTACTGATTTGCCATTCTTACCTAGAATTCGTTTCCTAAGGACAGCATTGCTTATACCATTGTCCCATGATACACGAGCAATGCTTCGGAGACATCGATGATCGAAGACTAGTAACCTAAGAATATCTTCTAATCTCACTGGCCATGTTTCACAGCCATAAAGTAAGACGGAGCGAACTACTGCACAGTAGACTCGTCCTTTGGTTAGCAAACGGATATCTCGCCTGCGCCATAAGTGACGCAGGTTGGCAAAAGCCGATCGAGCTTCCTGTATCCGAGCTGAGATTTCGTTAGTCACCAGGCCATCAGCACTGATGAGACTCCCCAGATAAGTGAAGCGGTCTACACGTTCGACTACTTCACTCCCTGCCCGTAAGTACAGCAGTTCAAGTTGCCATACCACATTAGCACAGAGATACAATTGTTAATTCAAATCCCCTAGTAGTAGATGTAGCTAAATTATTAGAAGTAATCGGAGAGATTAGGGTTCGAAGATGTTATTCAAGAAGTATAATTCAGAAGGACAGACTGTTCCATAAAAAATCAATGCATAAAAAGGATAGGCATTATCCATTTTCATAGCTTGACACTTCTCTAGCATAAAATCAATTTGACTAGATGGCTCAGTCACATATTAACACTATTATGTTCTCAGGGTAGTTTAAAAGCACCTAACTGCATCATGAGACAAGCCCTCACATGGAAGGCAAAAGGAAAAGAGGAAGGCCAAAGAATACATTACGCCGAGAAATAGAGAAAGATATGAGAGGACTGAACAAACATTGGACAGAACCGGAGAAGGAAGCCCAGGACAGAGTTGGTTGGAGAAAACTGGTTGGCGTCCTATGCTCCATTGGGGGTAACAGGCGTAAGTAAGTAAGTAAGTCTGAGGGTAGTTTAGATGATGAAATGAATTTACTTGAGAATACTTCACGAAATAGTCCCTATCTAGAAAATTTCTATCAGAAAGGAAAAATAGGACATATTGAGACACGGTTAGCAAGAAAACTCTCTCTATCTAAAATGTAATTTTAAACAGAACACATCAGGTGACATATTCAGCATGTCGACTGAAAAGATCTATGAAAGGGAATGTTGGCCTCAATCGATAAAAGGGGATTAACCAATAATAGTTGAATGAAACGCCCATTATCTAAGACCTGTTTTATTCTAGACTGGACACTATTCTGACGCTTTTTATTCAACTTTCCATTGAGAAATTATATCAGTTATATATAAACATGACTAATCATTTGTTATTAGTTCAGTTTGTTGTGTGTTTACCGTTCTCTTTACAATTGACTAAAATGTTTTGGTTCTATACTAATAGTATTACATTACATTCTAAGAAACAGATTATAATTGGCGATTAGCCCTTTTTTACAACAGCCTTGCTAGAACTCCGTGTGCATAAGTTTTAGGGACTTATTTAATTAATTCACTTGTAGGCAAATCAGATCCTACAGGAATATTTCACGCCACCAAGTTACATGTTATCTTCATTTCAACCAAACCAGTAGGAAATTTACCGACAATGAACCGCTCTACATGTATATAGACAGATACAATGCAGAACTTAGTACGTAAGTACATCAGTTCAGGTTGCCATACCACAAAGACTCGCAACGTCTGCATTAGCTGTGCAGTGTGATAAAGGGATGTGAGTACAGACCAAGGTACAACTGTTTGAGGCCGGTCATGCACGGCCTTTTTATGAAGGGTTTTTTGAGTATTGGCTCCGCTCTTAAAAGCCATTAGTGGGAACCCTTACCACCGGAGACGGAAATCCGTGAGGTAGGGTGAGATGTGACATTTTTAGGGTTGACCTTTTCTAACCCTTCCTTCCTTGTGAGAAGGCAGCATCGCTGCAGATGCCGATTGTCCGAAGGAAACACCTTACTGCTGTCACACCCCTCTGCAGTCAGCAGTACGACTTCGCCCTCAAACCTTGGGTCTGTTGCAAACATGCTCAGACAACCGCCTATTCTTAGCAAACACTAACTTTAGGCATAAGGAAAAGCACCTGTTGACCTGGCGACCTCCAAAGTCGTCTCAACGTTGGACACAACTAGATCACATCGCCATCAGCCACCGATGGAGGGGTTCGATAGAGGACTGTCGCTCGTTCTGGGGCACATGCCTAGATTCAGATCATGCCCTAGTGCGAGCTCGTATTTGTTTGAAGCTTACTGGACGTAGGAAAGACACCGTAAGAAAGCCTCTTAGGGTTTTACTTAATGATAATAAGGCGAAAAATATATTTCAGGAACAACTAGAAAGACAGTTAGGCGACCATTTAAGCGATTCCCATCCGGAAGCAGGATGGAATGATATCAAAAAGGCTGTGGAAACAGCAGTGATATCTGCTAGTAAGGTTGACCATAAGGCTAGAATGAAACCGTGGATCTCAGTAGCATCCACCGATCTGATGGATGCCCGAAAACTCATCCCACCTGGCTCTGAGCATGATGAAGAACGAAGTCAACTTAGGCGCAGACTTATGAAAAGCCTACGTAACGATCGCGAGCAGTGGTGGGTGGCGAAAGCAAAAGCGATGGAAAAGGCAGCGGCGATCGGCAACAGTAGACAACTTTTCCGCCTTATTAAAGAAACTGTTATTAAGAACCCGAATGTGAGTGAGACTATCTCGGAAAAGGATGGTCTTATTATCCATTCTCAATCCAGGAGACTGGATCGATGGGCAGAACACTTTAGGGATCAGTTCAACTGGCCACGAGCCACTCTTCGGTTACCCACGATCTCCAGTCATCCTGAATGGCAAATCGACGTAAGTCCCCCTAGTCTTAATGACGTTGAGAAAGCGTTAGGAAATCTGAAACGAGGACGAGCTGCAGGTCCTGATAGACTTACCCCTGAGATATTTAAGGATGGAGGTCCAGTTTTATCAGCTAGGTTGACTGAGATTTTAGGTAGAATCTGGGAACTGGACGTAATCCCACCCGACTGGTCTCAATCCTTGATTGTCCCAATCTATAAGAAAGGACAGAAGTCTTGTGACAATCACAGGGGAATAAGCCTAACTAACATAGTATCTAAAATATTGGCCTCAATAATACTTCGACGCTTAACGAAAGCTCGTGAAGAGCAAACTCGAGAAAACCAAACTGGTTTTCGACCTGGACGTGGCTGTATAGACCACATTTTCACACTCAGACAGGTCCTGGAACACAGACACACATTTAGGCGTCCTACAATAGTTGTTTTCCTGGACCTTAAGGCGGCATTTGACTCAGTGGATCGTGAGGTTCTGTGGCAGTGTCTGTCATTGAAAGGTGTACCAAAGAAGTACATTAAACTTATACAAGCCCTTTACTCGAACACCACTGGTCGGGTGAGGGCTTATGGCGAACTGTCACCGGAATTCTCTACATCAAGTGGTGTCCGTCAGGGATGTCCACTTTCTCCATTCTTGTTTAATTTTATCATAGACATGCTCCTAGAACTTACCTTATCCTCGTCTGAATTTTCAGGAGTAGACCTTTTACCACGTGGCTCGCTTATTGACTTAGAATATGCCGATGACATAGTCCTACTTGGTGAAGACGCTGACAAAATGCAGAGTCTTCTGACTACCCTAAGCAACAATGCAAGCATGTTCGGGATGCGGTTTTCCCCCTCGAAATGCAAAATGTTGCTTCAAGATTGTGTGTCATCGGCACCTGAACTAGTGATAGGGAGTGAAGTGGTCGAACGTGTAGACCGCTTCACCTATCTTGGGAGTCTCATCAGTGCTGATGGCCTGGTGACTGACGAAATCTCGGCACGGATACAGAAGGCTCGATTGGCTTTTGCCAACCTGCGTCACTTATGGCGTAGGCGAGATATCCGTTTGCTGACTAAAGGACGAGTGTACTGCGCAGTGGTTCGCTCCGTCTTACTTTATGGCTGTGAAACATGGCCAATGAGAGTAGAAGATACTCGTCGGTTATTGGTTTTCGATCATAGGTGTCTTCGAACCATTGCTCGTATATCGTGGGACACCCGAGTGAGCAACGCTGTTATTAGGAAACGGGTACTAGGTAAGAATGGCAGATCAATCGATGAAGTGGTGAAACTTCATCAGTTGAGGTGGTTGGGACACGTGTTGCGTATGCCTAACCACCGACTGCCTCGTCGAGCTTTGTTTTGTGGTGTAGGAATAGGTTGGAAGAAAGCTAGGGGCGGCCAAACCAAAACATGGCGTAAATCCATGAAGTCATTGACGAGTGGACTGAGCCATGTCGGTAATTGTCGACTACCTGGTTGGGGTCCGCGAGATGATAATAATCGATGGTTAGAGACCTTGAATGACATGGCTCAAAATCGTTCGCAATGGCGCCGGTGCATTTATTCTTTGTGTTATCTCAAATCCTAATCTTCTGAGTTCTTCAACACCTCTAGCTTTTACTTTCTAAACTTATCTCATTGAATCATACTTCGTGAATAATATATTCTTATTCTAACGTCTACGATTACTTCTAATACCTCTACTACCTCTTCTACTATTGGATTTGAATTGACAATTATATCTCTGTGCTGATGTGGTATGGCGACATGAACTGATGTACTTACGTACGAAGTTCTACGTTGCAACTGACTGACTGACTGACTGACTTGGGTAGCTGCTTTTAGTCTCATCGTTCTCTAATCGACCTGCCTGTCATGGTAAAACCTTCAGGAACATATGTTCCAGCCAATATAGCTCGGTTGGGTCATCACGGCAGGCGAGCCAGACCACCACGTCAAGGTAGCAGCTACGGTCAGGTCTACATGTAGATATATCATATTGATATCTGGATTTTCTTTCCTAGGCAGTTGTTTTCACATACGCAGTTGATGGTTTCTGTCAGTGGGATATTTTATGAGTCAAAATGTTATGTCTTATGATAAAATGATTTTGTATTTTATATTCGTGTTATTTATTCAAATACATCTCTAACACATTGTACTTAATTAATTATTTATGCCATCACAAATGTGAAAATTCACCATAATTCTTAACATGCAACCTTGTCTAGTGCAATAATACATGCCCTAATTTTGGATTTCATCGAACTTATAACTGTAGAGCATAATGATGAATTTTATTGTTCAACGAAATCATCTATCTCCCAAAAACGATCAAGTAACAAACGTACATCCATGTGTGAAATTCTCGTTTAATGATTATATTACTTATTAGTAATCACAGTCAGTCCATCTTTTTGCGGTATCTCATTGGTTGAAATAATCACAAAAAAAACTGGCAATGTTCTCATCATTAGTCAAAGAGAGCCAATCAGAACCCGTCATTTTACGTTGAGCTGTTTCAAAACTGACTATTGCTGTCGTATTATCACCTTGAATGTAAGCTTAAATTTAATTAATTACGACTTGCTGTAGAACCACACACTAACTCCGCCTGGAGCTCCTCTGGGGCTACTGCCGCTTCCCAAAACCCGGATAAAGGAGGAGGGTTGGACATGGGGTTGGTGACCCCATCGTGTAGAAAACTAACTCGCAAAAGAAACGCTAACCAGCAAACCACATTTATATTATATTTATAACCTATATATATATATTCAAATATATCCGAGTGACCAAGACAGTTTTCTAACTTGAACAGACCTTGGGTGCGTTATTCAGGTGAATTCAACGGTTGTTCCAGTACAACTGTTATCAAAGTGATCAAATGTTACTACAGAGCATAACAGATGGTTATTAATTTCAGTTATGATGTAAATAAGGCCTCAAAGGGACTCCGACAACTCCCTCATAAATGCTTGTACAGAAAATAACAACTAACAAATAGAGATCCATTCGCTTAAGAAATTCCTCTCGAACGTGTTAATACGTGTTTCTATCTTAGTTAAAAGTTAATGACATTCACGGCAGTTATCGTCAGATAGAGAGAGAAAGAGAGAGAGGATATTTTGTAAATACAAATTATCAAATGACTCATACAATTCATAGACAAAAAAATCACTTACCCACAAGTGGATGGACAAAGAGTAGAACTTTGATATTCATCACCACCGTCACAACAATCTAAAAAATCAGAAAAATAATTAATTTGTAGAAATAAGCAAACTCTGCTATCCTCCTATCAGCTAGACTGAATTTCAATTTATTATGTAATGTGAAGTTACTAGAGTCAGTCAGTCAGTTGCAACATAAGAACTTCGTACGTATGTACATAAGTACATGTCGCCATACCATATTAGCACAGAGAGGCAAATGTCAAATCAAATACCATAGTGATAAAGATAGTAGAGGTATTAATGGTCATGAAAAAGACTAGGGTTTGAAGATATTACTATTCAAGAAGTATAATTAAGTGAGATAAGGTTAGAAAGACAAAGGTAGAGGTGTTGATGAATCCAGAAGATTAGCATTTGATAGAACACAAAGAATGGATGCACTTGCGCCATTGCAAACAATTTTGAGCCATGTCGTTCAAGGTCTCTAACCATTGGTGACTTTCGTCTCACGGACCCCAACCAGATAGCCTACATCTACCAACATGACTCAGTACACTTGTCAGTGACTTCATGGATTTCTGCCATGTTTTGGTCTGGCAACCCCTAGCTTTCTTCCAATCTACTCCTACACCACAAAACATAGCTCTTCGAGGCAGTCGGTGGTTAGCCATACGTAACACATGTCCTAACCACCTCAACTGATAAAGTTTCGTTACTTCATCTATTGATCTGCCATCCTTACCTAGTACTCGTTTCCTAACGACAGCATTGCTTACTCGGTTGTCCCACGATATACGAGCAATGCTTCTTAAACATCTATGATCGAATACTAGTAACAATTGACAATTGCGTCTGTGTGCTAATGTGGTATGGCAACTTGAATTGATGTACTTACGTACGAAGTTCTAGGTTGTAATTGACTGACTGATATTGCTTAATAGCTATAAGAACTAATTTTTTGAGTTTCGCAGTATTTACAACACACACGTAAATATATTAACTGACAATCTAAAAGAAATATGGCTGTGGAAGAAGGTTATTTAGATACAAACACCAGGTCCACATTGACTCTCAGTGTAATTTACTGCATAAAGTTGATGTCTTCCTCATAATGCATACTGTAGATCAACTAGCTAGTTAGCAGTTACCTTTTTGATTCAAACCAATAAACAATGACTTCGTGGATAAAACAATGCATCATGGTTTGTCTCCAGCCATTTTCCTAGATATTACTTTACCAGACAGAACTAATAGTCTTTTGAAACAACGATTGAGTATGAGTAGTGTATGATCTCATCGCCCAGGTGGATGAAGCTTCATAGTCACAATACACTACATCTAATTACAAGTAGCTTTTTCAAACGTCAGCAAAACTACGAATATTTGTCACTAAATACTTGTATAATCTAAACATCTTCTTTATATTCAGAGGTCATGAGTTTCAATCATTACAGCAGTGTTGTCAAAATGAATGTGTTAGGATATGCATCTAATATCCTAAGGGAATTATTGGTCTATTCCTATTGACTGGTTCCTACTAGTCAATTTTATGGTCGTCCTAGTAGATATCAATGTCACACGCTCCAATGTTGTTTCTTATTGGTTGTCCTGACTATTAATATCACTTCAAATGTTGCTTCCTATGGGTCGTCCTAACTGTCAATGTCACAGACTTCGATGCTGTTTCCTATTCGACCAAAACGTATAAATACGCATTATCTGTAACGTTTTATGACCAGGATCCGGTCCTGGATCCCCAGTCCGGGAACCTGATTCTCTTCTGCACTCGGACCTCGTACTTTATGGATGCTTGTAGAATACAGGTTCTACTTCATATCATGTCTTCTTATTTTTATTCAATATGCAGGTTGGGATAATCGGATTTGAGTAGCATGTCGTGTCACCGGATAGTCGATCCTCGCTCTCATTTTCCAACTAGGTAAAGATGAGATTTCCTTACATCATCACCTATGCAACGTTAGTAAAAAAACGAAAACAGATTACAAGCCAAAAAAATGTTTTACCAGCAAGCATTTCATTGCTGACTACATTTCTTGCGACAAGGAAAGTATTCAGCCTGCACAAGTAATCTACTCTGATCGATCAAACATACACTTGGTGCGCACCAGTACATGGGTTGTGTACCTCGTCGAGCTATGTTTTGCGATGTAGGGATAGGTTGCAAGAAAGCTAGGGGCGGCCAGACCAAAACATGGCACAAATCCATGAAGTCACTGACAAGTGGACTGAGCCATGTCGGCAGGTGTCGACTACCTGGTTGGGGTCCGCGAGATGTTAGTAACCGATGGTTAGAGACCCTGAATGACATGGCTCAAAACCATTTGCACTGGCGCAAGTGCATTTACTCTTTGTGTTCTCTCTAATTCTAACCTTCTGAATTACTGAATTACACTTAACAAGACATGTATTTTATGTATTCTTGTAATGTGAATTAGGAAGCTCAAAAAAAAGCTGTTTTGATAGCGCTTCCATAGAGCAGAACTTTTCGAATAGAAAAATTCATATCTAACCACATTAACACCTTTAAAGTTGGATAAAAATGTTATCACTATAATTATGGTCATGATAAAATTGAACAAAAATAGAGAATACGGGTAGTCTTGATAAAAGGTATTTTGAAAGAGTCTATTGTAATGAAAGTTACCAGTTTGAATTACGAGTCTTCAATATGTTTTACAACAACAAACGCTATCGCAAAACTTCTCAGCCGACGCATAAGAATACTGGATACAGATCAAGAGATGTTGTTACAGTTAGCTATAAATGTCTGCATCTACTGATTTACTTGTTAAAATTCAAAAAATCTTGTTAATATATAAAGGATCAAGTGAGATATCTTTAGTTTTCTGAAGTACATTGTTTCTCAGAAGCACATGATTATGTGAACTACTTAAGACACTATATTGGTCATGTGGTTTATTTTAGGTCATTACAAAATAATTTCTTATACGACGGGACGATTAATAAACGAAACCCTTTAAATGGAATTATGTTCAGCTTCTACAATATTAAATACTTTGATCACATTAAGAACGATAGGCTACCATTTATAAACAACTTTGATACACAGAAGCCAGCTCCAGGTGTACTTCTTCACTCGAATTTAGCTTAAAATTTTCAGAAAAAATAGTCGGAAAGATTTAGACGTCTTATCAGGGTTGTTCACAAATGATGAATAATGAAAGGATGATGAGAGGCTCGTTAAAATGTGTTTGTGTTTGGACTATCGCTCCAGTCTGTTGACTCGAAACTGGATCTACGTTACGTAGTTCACTAAGATAGTTTCGCTGGTAGCTAAAAATTACGTCCGATGAATTTGAACAACCGCATACTGTTACCTGCCCTTATCATTTATTTTTTTGCCCAAAACCGTTTAAATCATTGCGAAACTAGCTTTTATTCCACAAGCAATGCTGTTGATCGGAAACGGGTACTAGGTAGGAATGGCAGAACAATTGATGAAGCAATGAAACTTCATCAGTTGAGGTGGTTGGGACATGTGTTGTGTATGCCTAACCACCGACTGTCTCGTCGAGCTATGTTGGACGAAAGCTAGGGCAGAAATCCATGAAGTCATTGACGAGTGGACTGAGCCATGTCGGTAATTGTCGACTACTTGGTTGGGGTCCGCGAGATGATAATAATCGATGGCTAGAGACCTTGAATGACATGGCTCCAAATCGATCGCAATGGCGCCAGTGCATTTATTCTTTGTGTTCTCTCAAATCCTAATCTTCTGAATTCTTCAACACCTCTAGTTTTAACTTTCTAATCTTTTCTCACTGAATCATACTTCTTGAATAATATCTTCTAATCCCAACCTCTCCGATTACTTCTAATACCTTTACTACCTCTTCTACTATTGGATTTGAATTGACAATTATATCTCTGTGCTGATGTGGTATGGCGACATGAACTGATGTACTTACGTACGAAGTTCTGCGTTGCAACTGACTGACTGGTGGTTAAATACCCTGAGTGACATGGCTCAAAACCGTTTGCGATGGCGCAGCTGCATTTACTCTTTGTGTTCTATGAAATTCCAACCTTCCGAATTCCTCATCATCTCTATCTTTCTCTTTTTAAAGTTACCTCACTGAATTGTACTTCTTGAATAACATCTTCGAACCCTAATCTCTGCGATTACTTCTAATACTTTTACTACCTCTACTACTACGGGATTTGAATTGACAATCGCGTCTCTGTGCTAACGTGCTTTCGCAACTTGAACTTCTGTACTTACGTGCAAAGTTCTACGTTGTTGTTGATGATGATGATGTTATTCCAAACTTAACTTCACATTGCTCAGCATTAGATACAGAGCGTAAAAGGGTGAAGAGATGATCGACTTCCAAGAATAACATTCTGTCATATAATTTGTTTCATCTAGTAGATGTGAAACAGAGTTAACCCCCAATATGTCCTAGCAAGACCAAGAATAAGTTGATTTTGCCCGTTTCAAATACTTTCATGTGACCAACACACATATAACTACTTTTAGAGGAGTCGTACTAATAACTGTCTCTCATTAAGGATGTTGTATAGGAAATTAAGGGAACGGAAACCAAACATCTGACTGGAGGTTCAACAGGGTTAGCGGATATGGAGGAACGACCGAGTGCGGTTCGAAAACTTATAATTTAAACCAATAGTGTGCATAGGCTCCAATATCCGAAAGGAACAATCGGTCACCGGCAATCATGTGATTGCATCTCCAAACGTTGATCGACTGCCAAGTGGATTAGACCTGAATACCAAAGGCTCAGAGACTATTCCACAAATGAAATGCTGTGGTGTTTGAATTAACTAGTGACTTCTTGTTGTTGTTGAATGCTTGATTTCGAATTCTAAATACAATACATTCGTTTGTGCTCATCCCACAGTTCTTGATTCACATACTTCTAATCATCATACTGGCGTCGCGATGGAGCTTGTAATGGAACAGCTAGATATTCATTCTACTTCTGAAGCTTTTGAAGATTATTTGGAAAGGTTTGAAATCTGGAGTATGACCAGTAAAGATGTTAAAGATGATAAAATTGTGGCTCATTTCCTGACATTCATCGGAAAAGAAGCGTACAGCTTATTAAAAACTTTGGCATATCCAGAAAAACCCACCTCACTTCCCTATGCAATGCTTAAGGAGTTATTATTGAATCATGTAAAGTGCCCTGGTTTTGAATGCCGTGAAAGGACGAAATTTCATAAGATGATTCGTCAAAATGACCAAAAGGTTAAGGAATTCATTCTTGAATTGCAGAAACAAGCTGTCAAATGTAATTTCGGTGATCAACTTCATGTGCAGCTGAGAGACCGATTAATTGCAGGAATTAACATACCTAGTTTGGAAAGAGAGCTGTTAAGAATGTCAAACTGTTCCTTTCAAGATGTTAGAACTGCGTGCATTAACTACGAGGCGTTGAATGAACTTGATATTCAGTCGATGAAGATTTCCAATACTCTGATTAGTTGTCATGATGAAATACAATCTCAGGGTCAATCAAAATTGTGTTCGTTTAACAGAGGTTCCTATTCTCGTGTAAATATGAACGGTGTTTCAATAAAGAATTACAAAGGAAATCACAAAGGTGAGACTAAGTTTGGCAAATGTTTATCATGTGGAAAACTTCATTCTCGTCATTCATGTACATTTCGCAATGCTAAATGTTTTAGATGTGGTAAGATAGGACACATTCAAACAGTATGCAAAGCTACTGTTCATTTTGCCTGAAGTAGTACTAAATGTTGTAATTTAGATCCCAATAATTCAGCTGATCCTAATGATCATTTATCTTCGTCTACCATTTCGAAAGGTAATGCTCATATTTAAAAGCGATTATATACATCACTCGGTTCATGTCATGACTTTATTGTGGACACCGGCAGTATAGAGTCCATTATTTCATTCAAGAACTTGAAATCGTTAGATCCTAACGTTGTAAGTACGACCCACTGAAGTATCAATATTGGGGATTACTGGACACAGACTGCCTATACGAGGATATTGTGAATTGCTAATAAGAGATGATAATTCCTCATACATACCTTGTGAATTCTTAGTTAACGAAACAGGACTGTCAATACTGGGTTTAAAGAATTTGAAAAGACTTAAAGTGGAGTTGTCTGTCCTAGTTTCTAAAGAAAATTCTGATGCTTTACTTAAAGATTTGATAGCCACTTGTGCTAAGTGCAGTGGAAGTATGAAAATGGTTCAGCATAGGAGTGCCAAACAAATTCAACATGTTTACTACATTTCTCGACAGTCATTACAAGATAAACCTGTTAATACTTCAGACTGTTTGTTGGTGCAACATTTACCAGTGAAACGTCCAGATCTCATTACAGAAACTCGTAGAAACTTTGGATGTATAATTAATGCTATACGGAAAGGTTGGAATGCTAATCTGAAACGTAGATTCGCTATCTATTTTTCAAAGCGGGATGAGCTATCCACTACTCCTGATGGTATTTTGTGTTTAGATGATCGGGTTGTTATTCCTCCGTTGCGTAAAGCTGTCCTGGAAGATCTTCATAGTGGACATTTAGGTGTTGAGAAAATGAAGTCCTTGGCGAGGCTCACGTGTTGGTGGCCAGAGATAAATGCAGATATTTGTCGTACAGCGAAGAATTGCAACAAGTGTCATAAGCTGAAAAACCAGCATTCGAAGTGGATTGATTCTATTGCCGCCTCAACATTTAATGAGCTGGAGAGGGGAGTAGATACCTTTCTACTGCAATATAGAAATGTCAGACATTCAGTGACGAAAGAGACTCCATCAAAGCTATTAAAAGGAAGAATTCCTTGGCCGAATATGAGATGTTTGGAGTCTGCAGAAGTTACATATTATCGTGGCAATGATCTTCGACCATCCACGGAGATTGTTCTGAAGAATATCGGGAAATCTAGATATCAATGACTTAAGTACACACAATCGACATGTTGATCAAATACAATTCCAGGAACCAGGTGAGTCTGTTCCAATTTCGGTTGTTAATTCTAATACTAATGAGATAATACAGAGCCTTTATCCAATACACTGTCGGACAGACACAGGATGAATTTGAGAAGACGTACAATTGATTACAGACACTTGCATTCCAATTTAAGCTGTGGCGGATGTGGTGATTGAATTAACTAGTGACTTATTGTTGTCGTTGAATGTTTGATTTCGAATTCTAAACACAATACATTCGTTTGTGCTCATCCCATAGTTCTTGATTCACATACTTCTAATCATCATAAATGCATATGCGAACAGAATTCTGTCCCAAACACAAACTAAATAACTTATGCAGTGAATGAATTTCTAGGTGCCTCTATGTTTTGATAAGTTAAAATCTAATACGATATAAGAAAACCCATATTCATTTTAGGGCACTGAAACCACAAATTCCAAGATATGACCATTATGAACAAAATTTAATTTTCAACTAAAAAAATGTGACTAACTTACCACAAATAGTGTCGTTGACGTAAGCAGAAGGAAGATACACAGGTCTATACTGCATATCGCGACAGAAAAAACGGCCGTTAAGACATGCAGATGTACCCGGTTCATCCGATCCATCGCGGCAATCACAGTAGTCATCATTGACTTTCCACCATGATATAGCCGAAGAGCCATCTAAGCAGGTAAAAGGTTTCCCAACTTGGTAGAACGAAGATCCTGAAAAGTGATAAAAGTAGGAAGCAGAGGTACTGGACAAAGGGACTCCTTTAGGAAGTTCAGCTCCATGAATTTCATCTAGCACGAGAAAAAAGATACATACTAAACAGAAGATGGCCCGCATCTCATAAGCTAATGTCGATGTAACGTCCACGGATAAATTACCGCTAACAGTTTTCCAATATCCAATATATTTTTCACGAGCTATTGTAAACCAATTTGATTTCTTCGCGCTCGATTCTTGTTCTCTCGGTACAGTTCCAGATGTTCGGTAATGTCCAATGGATGGAGGTCTAGCCGCTCGACTGTCTAATTCTAGTCAGTTGGCAGTTGGTTGTGAGTTTGTATGTCTCGGGATTTGAATGAAAACTTTTGTTTCAGGACAGTCAGGTTTCTGGATACTAGCAGCCGTCACGTTACCAGACCTGAGAGTTACAATGTGCAGAGTAATAAGGGTAATAAGGGTAAAATTCTAATTATAATATGAATGGAATTTCAGAACTGAGTAATATATAGATGAATTTAGTTTGTTAATTGGTAGTGAAGATTGTGAGAGAGGATCGAAGTGTAAGCAAGGGACAGGAAGCAGATATAATAGGCGAGATAGATTAACTGAGTGATCTGAGGAGATGGCAATGATAACAACTAGCAGGTCTCAAGATATGCAGCATGAACAGCTTGTCCAAGAGGGAGATGATAGTCCGTATGTGAGTACGTGATTATCAAGTCTCTTCTTAAAGCAGTCTACTGAGGGGGCCGTGGTCACCTCGGCTGGGAGAGCGTTTCAAGTTGCGACGACTCGCAATGAGGAAAAGTGTGCACGAATCTGAGTATTCGCTCTTTGATATGCAATCTTTCGAGGATTGCCTCGAGGAGAGTGGTGGTGATGCATCGGTAAGATGTTCACACTGGAATGGTTTGAAGTGTTTATTATGGTGTTCGCCATAATCAGATCGCCTCTGATTCTCATCTAGCTCAGTGTAAATAATCCCAAGAGCTGGAGTCTATTGTCGTAGGGTTTATTTTTCAACCCTATCACCCATTTGGTTGCTCGTCTCTGCACTCGATTCAAGAGATTTATGTCTCTTTTAGGCAGAGGGGGTGCGATGACGTTGTGAAACTCTAAGTGTGATTGTGAGTACATCTTAAATAGGGTTAAAAATAATTTCGGGGTGATAGCACCAATTTGTCTTCTTATAAATTGAAGAGTCGCATTTGCCTTGGCCGCATCCCCTCGAAAATCACTAATTCCCATTTCCATTATCTTATTCACGAGCTAATATACACTGGTTGATTACTCTGTGCTCAATTCTTGTTTCTTCTACATGATTCAAGGTATTTGAGTGTTATTTACGAGTGTGTATGTCCTGTGATTTGAGAGCGTGCGTTTGGCTCAGAGCAGTAGGCATTCTGGTTGCCAGCACCTATCATATGACTAAGACTAGTTTCATTGTGAAGAATAATAAACGGGGAATTCCAATTCTAATGAGAAGAGAGTAGTTTCAGAACTATAAAAGTGGGTAAATAAGATATGTGATTAGTAGTGAACGTTGTGTGAGAGGATAGAAATGTAAGGAAAAATTGTTGAAAGAAATGGTAAGAAACGAGGTAGAGTAAATGATATGATATGATTTGTTGTTACGTCACATCAGTTGAATAAAACGACTACGTTGAATTTCTTTGGAATCTTGAGCCAGTTATTTGCGTCTTTTCCAGGTTGGAGTCTCTCAGTTGGCATCAAATAAGAGTATATTATTTGAATGCCGTTTAATATTCAGTATTTCGGTGGCCATGATCAGATTTACTTCGGTCGGACAATAGTCCAGAAAGTGTAATTTCACTAGCGAAATTCGAACACCACACGAATTTTTTACCAGTTATGTCATTCACTACGTTAGACCTCACAACACTGACTTTACCTATCACATTGCAGAAACTCGGTTGCAATGATTTCGTGAACTCTAAGACCTGAATAAACGGAAGTTTAACATATAGTTGAGAGAGATCGTGACTCAGGTTCGTACCGTATCTCCTTGAATGGCGACTTTTCGATGGGTGACATCTGTCATATCTGTTTTCAGTGCTAAGTATATAATTGGGTCTATCCTCAGTGACAGAAACGAGAGCCTTACTAAATACTTCATCGCTTCAGAATGCAGATACTCACTATTAATATCCTCAGGGATAATTACGTAACTAAAGAAGAAGAACAGAACGACCATTTAAAAAAAACCATCGGTATAATGTGAATTAAATACGATTCAAATATTAAAGGTTTCATAATGTCTTTTTCTACAACAACTTTCAAATCCAGAATATCAAAACTCACTCAAACCAGATGCCAATGATGAGAGGGATCAAATCTATATTTGAAAGATGTTCCGTGAATTGAGAAATTAGTAGGCTGAACTGGCCACCAGCAGCGAACGATGGAATAAAATGCTTAGTTGGACTCTGATTTTTCGGACACGCTTTATGACTTGACTTTACCACCTCACGGAGTTTTAATCATCGACTGAGATCAGCTGTAATGTGAAAACGTGAGTTAGATACTAAATGCCAGGCTAGAATGCTGAGTTTAGTTTCTCGAATTCGGTTAAGATTTTCACTCACAATCTGAATTCAGCTATGTTGCAGTGCTTTAACACTCTACTGTTAACAAGCACAAGACTTTTGGTTGATATTTAGAAAGGAAAGAGATTCACTAATTTCATTCAACACTCGTGACAAAACACAGAATCTCAGCAACAACTAAAGCATGCAATCTACCTTGGGTGAAGTTTACTCTCATAAATTAGCTACAGAACAATCTAAAATATAATTTTGATTTCAAAATATAGATTCACATTGGCTTCAGGCATTTTAGGGAACAATGTTAAAATTTTGACACACATGTTATCTTTGAACTTGAAATATTAAGCAAAGTAGTTGATACATTATCAAAATTTCAGTTCACCCCAACGCCATCAGCGTAATATGCCTCCTTCTTAACTGATGACATTATAATCATTAGATGAACCGAAGGATATTTATAATCGCATTTAAAATTACCTATTTATTCCAGAATATAAACAAATATATGATCATTAGGATTTCCGCTCTTATAATTAGTTGAATATGAAGGCTTATTATCCCTAGTAGAGAAACACCGGATTGATGTGCTTAAATCTGCTTCATCTGAAGCATATGACATCATAAAATCGAGCTTGTTTCTAATAGTGCAGTTTACCAGTGTGTAAAAATTTACCGAAATTTTGCTTACCTTTGCATAGTGCTTTCCGAAAGTAGTTGTTACCCTGCAACAGCAGAAAGCATGATGTACCAGGAGTCGAGAAAACTTCGCATAATAACCTAAAATCCGTAGTTGTGCGAAATAAGCGGTCTGAAACTGAAAGCTACGTTAACAGTTTTCGACTATATATAACATCGGACACAGGAAATCTTGAAATTCGTATTTTCGTGATTCGTTGACTGAGTAGCAGTAGATATGTGATTCTAGAATCCCACTTAAATTAGTATCTAAGTTATTTCCTACAGACAAGCATAAATGATTTGGTCAGTTCTTTTTGACCACTAGTGTTTTGTATTCACCAGCATTGCGAAAGGTGTCTGACAATTTAGTAGAAAAATCTATCTTGATAGAACCATAGTCGTCACGATGACATCTCTCATATCCTTTCAAACAATTTAAGCGTAAGGAAGACAGAATCACTAGATCTTTATGTAGACGAATTTTATACCGTAGCAGTTCAATTTGATTCCAATAGGTGTAGGTCGAACGCACCCTCCCTTAGTCCAATATCAGAACACAATAATTCTAGGAGAAAGTGATCTGACAATTAATACACCTTCCAAGTCGAAATTACTCTGATGAGTATCCGAGTTCAAAAGAATAGGTGATGCTAGTATTAACTGCAACGATATCAAATCCAAATATGGCTGTAGCCATATTATATATCAAATTTAAACAACATGTGTACAGTTCAGAAGCAAACATAAAAACTTCAATATAAGTTCAAAATATAGAAATAATAACAATATACAATGATAAAATCTCAAAATGGAATCAATTAGAGTACCAAAATGTCAACAAAAAGAGTCAGTCATATCATAACACATATATGCATGGAGGGATTTTCCGAAAAACAAAACATTCAAAAAAGATTCTACACTTTATATGCTATGAGCGTTATCTTCCTCGTTGACTTCCCTCTATTCACAGAAAACAATCCATTTTTGGACACCAGATTGGGATATCTAGTAACTCCCGAAGATTTAAAAGTTGTCTCCATTCACTGATTGACGATCTGAGTGCTAATTCGGATGAACAGAATCATTCCGAATCAGAACCACTGTGCCATAGAGCTAGCTGTCTCGATCAAATGCTTTCTTCCTAACTGCTCCGTCAGCATACACATTCATTCACTCGCAAACACAGGTCTTGTGGAAAAGGCATCCTAAGATTTAGTCGAGACGGTCTGTCGTACAGAAATCGCATATGAGTGACTGTACCGCCTTCCCGATACCAGCCAAAATCAATGACTGATTGTGCATGCAATTTTTGTAGTAAATGTTTACACTGTCACTGCACCTAAAGAGTACAATGGGTCCATGTTGAGTCACCCCTGTCACTTGTTCTGGTATATCTGCCCAGCGTGCAGAGTAACTGAGGTATCGACGAAGTGACAGACCCCATACAAAATCAGCTCTAAGGTTTCAACGGACAAATCTAAATCTCCTGGCACTAAACCAGTGAAACAGACCACCAAGGCAGACGAAACCCAAACCCACACACTGACAAAGATGCTGGTTGTTGCTACACATCCCAGAGTATCAGTTAACAATATGAAACAGTAGGTGAATATGAAGAAGGGAAAGGCCACACCTCAACTCACAATAGGCTACCATTCAGGCACAGCGACAATAGACTAAATTCACTTACTTTGTTCTATATTCTTGTGTCGGGAGGTAGCTTACTAAAGGGTACGGCTGTTTTTGATAAAAATCGATAGTAGAAATACTGCGCGATCCTCATAATGTGCAATACATCGGCAAAGTATGCCGCCACTTCAAAGGCCAAAAAGACTGGTGAAAGAAACCCCCTCCAATGGAGTTAACATTAGACTCGGCAAAGCTTGTCAAAGACATCCTCCTCCAATCCCCGAGACCATCCCACGATCCGCATCAGCGACGATAAACCATGGGCGGTACGAGCTACAGCCAGGATATCACCAGGCACCCAAAAGTAGACCAT